AGATGACTGCACGTATGTCAGATTTAAAAAAATTCGTAGTTTTCGACATTAAAATTATGTTTTTGTTGTAAAATCGGGAACCCTCTTTGGTAGGAACCAATTTGCATAGGCCGGAAGTCGCGGGAGCCTATATAATGAGCGAGAGAGTGACATTTTTCATTATTCGCATCAAAATGGAGAATCGTAGACCAGTAAGCAAAGTGAAGGATATTATGGGGGTTTGACGGGGCCAGGGTTGGAAAAGTCGCGAAGCGGCTTTTCAACCCTGGTCCTACTATATATAAAAAAATAGTGTCTGTGTGTGTGTGTGCCACTTTGCATGCAACTTCCGTCAGCGTGTCCGGAGGTTATCTCAAGAGGGCAGGGGTTTTAAGGGGCGTATGATACGTCATTAGGTGCGTATTGGCTCTGGGATGACTGCACGCATGTCAGATTTTGCAAATTATGCTATTTTCGACATTAAATTTAGATTTTAGTGAAATTTTCGGGCACCCTCTTTGTTAGGAAACAATTTGCGTACGCCGGAAGTGGTAGGCGTCTATATAAAGGGGCAGAGGGAGCGTTTTCCATTATTTTTCATCGCAGCCCGGGCGAATTATGCAAAGTGAAGAATAACATGGGCTCAGACGGGGCCAGGGTTGAAAAGTCGCGTAGCGGCTTTTCAACCCTGGTTTTTAATAAAAAAGTAAATATTTTTCGAGTTTTTTTTGTAATTGTTATGTTACTTTTATATCTAAAAACTATAAAAAAACGTTTATATTTTGTCATAGGGCGGTTGAGAATCACAGGAAAAAGTTGGCTTCCCCCTCCTCCGCTAAACCCCCCCCCCCAGATAGAACCCACATTCCTACTATGTATATGAAAAATAGTTTTCTGTCTGTATGCGTGTGAGTGGCGCTTTGCATGCAACATTCTCAACCAGGCAATTGCTCCCAAGATCCATTGCACGCATTTTCAGCCGCGGTATTCTTCGGCAGATGATGCCACATCAGGAATTTCCCCACCCAGTGCACACGAAACAATGCTCGACTTCGTTGGTGAGGAACCTTAGTGGCGAAGCGCTTATTTGGTATTATCACATTGTCGGCGGGAATATGTACCAGGGTTTGGACATGAGTCTAGGGCATCTTCAATCCCGTAGATTTGACAGTAGCGGCCGAAAATTGCCGTGGTGGGCTAAATTGTCGTATCCGGTCACTAAACGGTTTCGGATTTTTATATGTTAACATGCTCAGCAGGCCGAAACTGAATCAGGTTCAGTTGAAAAAACTTTCGGAAACACCTCTACCTTGAGTTATTACACTCCAAGTTTTACTTCAGCCCGTGCATCATATAGCATGTTCTCGCCCATGGAAGTCCGTTTTCAGCGCGGGGAAAATATGGATAATTGCTCGATAAGCGCTTAGCTATACTCTACGCATCCAGTTTGAGCCTAAAAATACGGCTTCGTGACCTCGGCGTCACCGAGCTGCGCGCAGCGCCCAAGCGCAACCAGAAGTGACGAACCGCCTTGTCTGACAATGCTTTTTTACGCAAGAAAGAGTAATTCGATACCATTCCGTACTTTCCGTTGTACAGTTGGCGTATATTGGTGCATTGCGTACATCGCCGTGTTTTGAGACGTTGTAAGCTATATATATCTCGCGATAAGGGGTTTTTCCGAAAAGGTTTATGAACTGATCCTTGATCAGCTCAACTTACTGATGAGCATTTTGACATAACAAACTTCGCTTTTTGCTTGGTGACCGGATACCTCAGTAACCAACTTTGAAGTGTCATTTCTCGAGACAGAAATCTCACAAACGGTCTTTTGTAAACACAAACTGTTATTTTAGGCTGTTACTCGTTGCGAAAGAAGCTATCGTTGTGCCCAACTGCATCTCGAATATGAAGACGGAAAAGTATTGCATGTGAAGGGATGTGTCGATTATCCTATGGCGCAATGGAAGGATGGCGCTTATAACTTTACCGACGAGAAAGGAGGTATGCAAGCAAACCGATAAAAACTAAAAAACAATTGGTTTTGACTTTTAGCGGGGGGGGGGGGGGTTAGCAGGGGGTAAAACCACTTTTTGTTTCCCACCTATTCCTGTTGATGACAATATTATGTATTTTTATTGTGTTTTTAGTAGTTTTTGATAATTTGATCATGATTTAGAAATTTAATAAATATTTTCTAAATTTTTAAAGTTAGAAAATTTCTACCGTTTATGGTCATTTTTCAAACATTCGACCAAAAAAATACATAATTTTTTCTAAAATTTGTTTTTTAATATCAACTATAATAATTTTGTTGTGGTCTCCGTCCGTGTGAAGCCGAATTCAACTCGAAGGGGAAAGGAGCTAGAGCTTAGCTCTCTTCGGATTCGGATAGAGCGTGGCCAGAAACCCCCAAACTGATAAAAAAATTATGAAAAAGTTTTAGTTTAAATTATTAAAATTAACTTTGAAAGTTTTTCCTTAGTAAAAGGAGTGGGGGCCCCTCTTCCCCAGGCCCTTTCCCGCGCCCAAATAGCTTTTTAAGTTATTAACCAGGGTTGAAAAACCGCTTCGCGGCTTTTCAACCCTGGCCCCGTCCAGAACCTGTGAAAGGCCTTAATTTGCATGTTTCTTCATGAATCCTAGCAAGAAAAAGTTGAAAAACGGCTCCTCTGTCCCTTTATATAGGCTCTTCCTACTTCCGGCGCATTCTAATTTCCCTAACAAACGGAGTTTTACAAAAACCTATTTTTAATATCGAAAACAGCAATTTTTCAAAAATTTTATGTGTGTGCAGTCGATTCCGGACCATTCTAAACCTATTGTCGTTTCTTCCCTATCCAAAAAACCCTTCCCCGAGGCTGTAGGTGCGGAACATCCAAACGGAAGTGCATGCAAATATAACACACACACACACACACACACACACAGACACTATTTTTTTATATATAGTAGGATACTTTTAATACTTTTTAATTATGTTAATTAATTATTTAAATCATCCAAAGCCATCGGGAAGGTATTTAGGTAGTTTTTGAAGGGGATTTCAGCCATGGGGGGGTATCTGCAGCCATCAGGAAGGTATTTGGGAAAGGATGTGGTGGAGTGGGATATGTAGGGTAGCCCGAAGGCCAGATGGTTGCAGTCGCGAAGCGACTGTAACCATCTGGTTTTTTATATATCTCTTTTATTTTTTTCTATCAGTGTCTGACAAGGAAAATGAGAATAACCAAAACAAAAACGTTTTAGCGATTGGCTGGTTCTACGGCTGCAATTCGACCGACTTTTGCAACTATGAGGCGGTGAAATGGCTCAAGGCCGAGGTCAAGAAGGCCGAAGATCTGAAGGCCGAAGAAGCCGAGAAGCAGCGCAAAGCGGAAGAGGTCGAGAAGCAGAAGAATTCTCACCCGAATACCCTCACGTTCCCCATTATCGTTTCCCTGATCGTCAGTTATCTCGTTAATGTCATGTGATTTCTTCTATCGCGAAATAAATCGATTTTCAAATTCATCGGTACATTCAGTTTCTCCACATTTGGTGCTTCCAGGTTAACGGGAGGCGGTTATTTTTGCGGGGGGCGGTTTCCAACTTTTTTCTATAATCTCGGGTGGGCCGGCTAATTAAAGGTGTACCGTTTTTACGGACTTGTACGCCGGTTCAAGTGGTTCTTGACGGTTAGTGTGGGGACGAGAAATTCAGAAAAACTACATAAAACATGTTGAAATTTTTTCCTTTTTCGGTTTAACGCGTATGAAAATGGTTAAAAACCAGCTAAAACCTTAGATTTTGTTGACTGTTTGAATTGTGGGATAAATTTGTTTCATAATTTTTGGTTATTGGTGTCGAAAAGATTGAGCCTCCGAGCCCTCCCAGAGTGTAAATACACCAAGGGGAATAAATCCCCAACGGAGGACCCGGATTGCCACCTCATTCTTCCGGCCCTGTCTGCACTCATTATCAGTTATGCGCGATCGGTGTTCAGTGGTAGTAATAAAGTGCATTTGCTAAAGACCTGCAAAGGATTAGGAGAACAGGTTTATTAGAACAGTGACGGAATATAATCGGCACATGAGAAAAGGTGTCTGAGGAGAATTACAAGTGTCGAAGGCCAGGCGGGCCAAGTTTGGCATGGGTGTCGAAAGGTTGCATTCGCCAGAGGTTTACTGTGCTCCGGATAGTGGTAAACCACGTCCCCGGCTCACAGCACTCTCACCAAGCCGTGCCGAAGCAACGACTGGCCGCAACACCCTTTCGGGATAGCGGGGGAATATGCAAGCATAAACCCAGAGAGCGCCGGGAGGGCGCTCACACAGCCCGCTACCGTATGGGTCATCGCGGCGGGACCCTTGGCAGGTTGCCAACCCCTATTATCCCAGGTAATTCATCCTCGAAACTCCTAGGAGATGAAATCTCGTAGGAAAGTTTCGACAATTGGAAGCTACTAAACACTATTAAAATAAACTACTCGCCCCCCCCCCGATAGTGCGAAAGATCCGTAAAATTTCGTCCTGCCCTTCTCCCCAAAAAGGGCTCCGAAACCCTGTAAAAAATACATAAAAAACATATCGCAAAGGTGTTCCGCAATACAACAATGCCGGGAAGGGCGTTTATTCAAAAATTCATGCGTATCACTTTGGAATCGTCGGGGATAGGTATTGCAGGGTGATCTAGCGGTCGAGGAGAGTGATAGTCATCAACAGGAAGCTGATCAGGGGCATCATCGAGCTGGCCGGCGACACGACAGATTTCGCGGGCTCAGCCTTCACCCCTAGCGCCGGACGCGAATTGCACAGATCCGTGGCGCACGCGCAGGACTCGCCGTAGAAGGCTAAAAGAAAAGGGTGAAGGCCGCTCAAGCTTGCTCCGTAGGCTTTGAAACGAAGCTAACCGCTTAAGCTTGCGCCGCAGTTGTATGTATGTAGGTTTTGTATGCACATTTAATTCTTCAATTCTTAAATCGTACATTTGCATAAACGGTGCGGGCTTCCTCAAAATGATATTTAATAAATCATTTCAGCGCTATGTTTTTGAAATTCGGTCTATTCCTCCTATTCGCCTTCTTATCGCCAACTTGTGGCTTCAAACTGCTTGGATGCTCGTATTGTGCGACTCCATCTGTCTCCTCGATTCAGAAAGCCGTTTATGAACGGGGGTAGGTTTTACGGCACAGCGAAAGGTTTGCATTAGACTACCCTATTGTGGAATATTGTTTTGACAGACAAAAGGCTAGAAGTAGTTTTAGGTAGTGGGGTGGGTGCTTCCGGGTTAGCGGGGGAGCAGGAATTATTTTTGGGAAGACGAGTTACGGCTGAAGCAATCCGACCATAAATAAAAAAAATAGTGTCTGTGTGTGTGTGTGCATTTGCATGCAACTTCCGTCCGTATGTTCCAGTAGTATCTCAATAAAAGAAGAAGGTAAGGGTATATATCAGGGATGGCCATTTCGGGACCCGGGTCAGACCCGGACCCCGACCCGGGTCCGGGTTTTTTGAAAATAACCCGGACCCCCGAGCGATTCTTCGGAAGTAAATGCAAAACGTAAATTATTCAAATACTACATTGAAGTTTGGAGATATCTATAAGTTTTGCTGAAGAACAATACTTCATATTCAGTTATTAACACTTTAATACGTTCTACAATTTAGTTTTCGATAGTAAATTGATCGGGCTGGACACCATTCGACCCGCGAAGATCATTTAACCATCGTAAAGGGAGTACTTTTCAAGTATAGCATAGAAAAATTTGCATTTCAAGCCAGTCTTGTATTTCCGGTGCAGTATAAACTGGGGGGGTCCGGCTCACTCTCAAAAGATCCGGACCGGGACCCCGACCCGGACCCGGACCCCCATTCCGGCGGTCCGGGGTCCGAGTCCTTTCGTGACCAACCCTGGTATATATGGGTCGCGGCCTGGGGGGCGCCGCCAAAAGCCCCTCCCGAGGAGCCTTTTGGGAGCGCCGTGGGTGGGGCTCTTTTCCGGTATGCAGCGATGTAAATTGCAAAAAAGTCGTCTGGAATGCCACAAAATGGGGGATCAACCAAAAGTTGCTGGCACCTTACTAAAAGTGACAAATCTAGTTTTTAGCCGTTTCGGCTTGCATATAATTTCTGTATGATGATCTATTTACGCTTGCTTGAAATTAATATGTAGACCTGACCTGTAATCTAGGATTCGAATTGAAATGAAGATTTGAAATAGTCAGCCACTTTTTGTTGTTGCCCATTTTGTGGCATTTTTTAGGGTTTGAAGGGAATTTAGCACTTTTTGTTGCCACGAGAATTCGTCTCTTTTTGCGAAAATGAAAAGCCCTTTCACAAAACTAGCTGTTTTTCGACATTCAATACAAGTTCCATAAAGATAGAATTTTGAGGCCCCAAGGGTTTTGATTTGATGGTGCTTTGGGTGTGCCTCCTTGAAGACGGCTGTTTGAAACTCAAATTCAACAAGTTTTTATTTTTACCGTTTCCTATAATGTCTTCAGCTGTGCGGTCCGACGAATGGTTTTTTAATCCCAACAAACAACTGTGCCCGCTAACCCCGAATAATCTCCCAATTTATCTAATTTCAGTCCTGCGCCCGACAATTTGCTGTGGTACCTGATGCCGACCGAATCCTGGGAAGATTCTACTATCTTCACGGAAGACTGTGGTAACGACCGGGGCATGGTGGGTGTTAAAGGGGCTCCGAAATCTGGTCCACGGCCCCCTGCTGTGATTCCTGGCAAATAGCCAGATGCGACCGCAACCGATCGCGCCGCATGGTCTTTTGCCGCTGTTTGGACGCGAAAACGCTTGAATTTCAAAATTCTGAAGCTATTTATGTAATCCCATCGAATTTTGATCATTCCAGACTTTTAAATTATGAAAATTGACCAGAGAACCGCCGAGATCGAGAGATTGGGTGCATTACAAGGCATTACGACATGGAATCGCCGCGCCCTCAAAATGTCGTTTTCGCCCCAAAAAGAATTCCGATTTTCTCAAATATTTGACGTTTTTCGCAATTGCATCGCTTTTCTGGAAGCTACAGCTGAAAAGGGGGTGTACCTAAGGTTTTGCGACGGAGTGTATGTCACATCGGAAAATTCCAAGATCACCTAAAAACTACTCGTTGTTGGATGACCTAAACCCCCCTTAGATCACCTAAAGGCCCCTTTACGGCCCAAATGGCGTGGACCGTAGCGCGTGGCCTTCTGGGTGAAATTTGTTTTGGAACTAGGGGTTCTTTAGGATTCGCGGGGGGGGGGGAAACCAAATTTTTTTCCCCACAAGCCTAAATTTTTTTATAAATAACGGATGCGTTTCTAAATTGTTTTTAACTATTCGGAGCATAAAAACTACACACACCTTCATTAAAAAATTTAAAAAAAATAAAAATTAGGTCTAACAATCCTATGGAACTGTTAGGATTCGCGGGGGAAGGCACAAAATGACCAAATTTCCGACTTTTTCAAACATTTTTCTAATTTTTTTCTGAAAGTACTTCTGCTTTAAATATAGTTAAAACTTACTAAAAACAATTCGAAACACTTTATATTTGATTACTTGGTCAACCGGGACCACCAGGAAAAAATTGGTTCCCCCCCGGGAATCCTAAGGAGCCGAACTAGGTTTTCTAGCACATAACACCAACTCTACCCAATGGCACTTTCAAAACAGCTGCGCTTTCGACCAATTTTGCGCTGACACGTCAGGAAGATCTTAGCGGGCGACTAGATTATCTAGTGGCCCTCTTAGATCATCTAGTACCAACACTAGATGCTCTAAAAACCCCCCTTTCCATACAAACGGTCAAAGGGCGGGGGGCGGTGGTCAGAAACCTAAAGTTCGATTATGTTAAAAAAAAGCTAAATGCTTTGGGGATTTCGACAACCGCCTATCCGACGAAGAAAAATACGGAGAATTCGATGTCATTGACCCCGAAAGCCGTTTTTGGGCGGCGCTCGCAATAATGCCTGGAGAGCAGTCTAGGCCCCCTTTAGACAAGATTTGGATCGTGGTGGGTTGGTTTGAAGGGGGGGAGGTTAGATGATATAGTGCCCCCCTGTAGATTGGATCTAACGCTCTCTTTGGTACCAGCCCAGATATAAAACCGCCACCAGCAGAAGAGTTTTGCACCAAAAAATCATGGCTCCCCCCCCCCCCCCCTTTATGAGTTTTTTGGCCTTCGTTCGATTTACGGGTGGGGGGGGGGGCGGCGGGATCTTGCGCCGGTTGCCCCTCTCTCTCTCCTGAACATGTAATTTAAGAAAAGAAAATACGGTTTGCGCTGTGGGATCCTTCACCTCGAGTATGCAGACGGAAAAGTGATGCACCTCAAAGGAAGTACCGATACCGAGCAAGAGGGCTATTTCAATTATACCAAGGAGGACGGCGGTAAGCAGCTTTATATCTTAAACCGGTTCTTAAGCATTCGCGGGGGGAGCCAAACTTTTTTTGCGGTGATTCGGTTGGCCAAGTAATCGAATATAAAGTGTTTTTCAAGGTTTTTAGTAAGTTTTAACTATTTTTAAAGTAGCAAAAATCCAAAAAAAAGTTCGAGTGTGTGAAACAATCGAAAGCTTGGACATTTTGGCGACAAAATCAATTTTTCGATCTAAAATTAAATTTTTAGTGAAAATTCGTCAAGCTCAGGAACAGTTACAAACAAGGTAGAAAATATCCGCTATCCATCAAAAATTTAGGCTTGGGCCGAGTTGGTCCCCCCGCGAATCCTAAAGGACCCTTACGCCAACCCACTATTCATATTTTTCGCGGCAGTACAACTGATTTTTTTAGCGAACGGCTGGGCACGCGTTTGCAGCACAGACTATTGCAACATGATGAGCGTTGGTGAGCTGAAAGCGCAAGTAGAGGCCGCCGAGCAGCTCAAAGCGCAAAAAGCCGAGAAGCGGCGCAAAGCGGCAGAAGCCGAGAAGCAGCGCAAAGCCGAAGAAGCCGAGAAGCAGAAGAATTCTTACCCGAATACGATCGCTTCCACCATTATCGTATCGCTCATCGCCAATTACTTTTGAGTGTCATGTACTTCTCTTCGTCGAAAAATAAAATCGAATTTCAAATTCCTGGGCATATTGAGTTTGTCCACATCTTGTTTTAAAGTTGTGATGTTCTAACGCGGTTAAAAACATTAAAATCAGATCGGCCTTCGCATCCACTTACAAGGAGGCTTTTTTTGGTGTGAATGGAGTTTTGAGACAAAACCAGGCCTATTTTGTGCAGAATTTTGCGCTGATTCCGAAACTGTTTTCCATTTCTGCTAAATAGCTCGATTTAAAAAGTTACAGTAATTTGAGGTCCTTTTAGCCCAAATTTTCCCATCTTTAAGGCCCATTATGTTGCTTTTCCCGGCTGATTTTCCAAAAATAAATATCGTCATCGTACTTAGAAATTTTTTGTCTAGCAACCCTTAACTCAAAATTGTCAAAAAATGAAAAATTTGAAGAGAAGAATAGAGAAGAAAGAAAAAGAAAAATTTGGTATGGACTCCGTTTTTTGTATGGGAAATGGTGAAAACAGCCCATTTCTCACCCCTGTAAGTAATCGTCGGTCGGCAGTAGCGCACTAATCGAATATACCATTCGAAACAGAAAAAAATCCTTAACAAAATGGGCTACGAGCCGTGGTGTCCGGGCCATAACTCGAAGCCCTGATGGAATTTCAGTCTGTAAGTTGGACCACTTATGTATCAGGTTGGAAGGTAAGTCCTGTCGCCGAGATTTTGGAAGGCTGGCTAAATTAGTAGATAGCTCCATTCTGCACATGCAATATGTCATTTTGTAGCTCTTGGCCTGATTCGTTTTGGGAGGAGGGTCCCGGGCCGCCAAAATAGAGGAGGGCCGAGATACAGGCCTAAGAAGTTTTTCACAAAATCAGCCAAAAGTTTTTTTGCATGTTATCTCTGCCTAGAGCCATTTGCATGCGATACCATTAACGCCAATCGATAGCTCTCAAGGAGTAGATATCGATAGATATCTCTGCTCGATACATTGCTGACAAGCTAAAACAGAACTCGATTTCCAAAAATTTATGAAATTTGAGGCTTTACATTACCGCAATTTGCATAAAAAGTGTGCTGGGGATTTGCATAAAGACCGGTTTCACTTCCGGGACCGAATCGTGAAAAACCGGTTTTCTTACCTTGAACCGATTTCCGAGCCTGGCAAAAAGCGGTTTTGCCTCGTGAACCGATTTAAATCGGTTTGAAGCAGGAAACCGGTTTTCGTCCCACGATTTAATCGTTTAGGATGTGCAAAGCGATCGATCGGAAACCGGTTGCGCCAAACCCCACCCCTACCATAAATTGATGGACTAAACCAACCACTAGATCCACCCCTACGCGCTTAAATTTGGTACAACGCCGTAATATTTGGATATCCAAGAAAACAAGCTACCCGAAAAGGAGCATTATTAATGAAATTATGAAGAAAATTTGCGCTAGGGTTTTACGAATAACTAATGGGTGGCCACCCCTAATATAATATCTTTCAAATGACCAAGCCTTGAAATTGATAAAGCGCTGAACCGAGGGCCCACGGTGAAGCCGCGGCGTTGACCAACTATTTTTGTATGAAAGCTCCGAAAGGACTTTCCATAAGCACCGAGAAACAGCTGAAAAGCCTTCGAGGACGTGCAGGCTTGTGTCTAGGATCTAGTCAATGTTGCCGATTTTTACTAAATGGGGAAAGAAACGAAAAACCCTTTTTTTACAAAGGTTAGGCAAACCGACCTTTTTTTACCCAAGGTCATTTTTTATTTTGCGAAATTAGGCTTTCAAATCCTACTATATATAAAAAAGTAGTGTCTGTGTGTGTGTGTGTGCCACTTTGCATGCAACTTCCGTCAGCGTGTTCCAGTAGTATCTCAATAAGGGGGGTCAGTTAGGAGCATGTATTATACGTCACTAGGTGCGTAATGGCCTTGGGATGACTGCACACTAACAAAATTTTCAAAAATTATCTGTTTTCGACGTTAAAATTAAGTTTTTGTTGAATAATCCAGGGCCCACTTTGTTAGGAAACAATTAGCATGCGCCGGAAGTTGCGGTAGCCTATATAAAGGGAAGAGAGGTAGCGTTTCTCATTTTTTGTCATCAAAAATCGTGAGAATTATGCAAAGCGCAGAATATCATGGGATCAGACGGGACCAGGGTTGAAAAGTCGCGAAGCGGCTTTTCAACCCTGGTAGGCTATTAAATCACTTCTAACAAGGTATTACCCAACCCGATTTCTAGAAGAATGAGGGATTTGGAGCCGGAAATTGATGTTAATTGATGCAAAGTCCAAAAAAAGCCGAAAAATGAAGCAAAAGTGAGGTAAAGGGAAAAACAGTCTTTTTTTTTGCCATAACTCGAAAACTACTGTACCGATCGGGCTGACAGTTTCTGTAAACACTTTAAATTCCCTTCCGCACCTCTGTTCCAAATTTCAAGACGATCGGAGTTGAAATGGGAAAATTCCAGTGTGAAATTTTTCCGGATACATCGATTCCAGTCGAAAAAATAAGATTTTGACAACATACCGTAAAGTGAAATTTAGCCTCCTAACGTTAGGTTTGGCACAGACACTGTGACAATACCAAATAAGGGTGCTTCCTGGTTATCGGGGGTCGGTTATTTTAGCGGGGGTCGGTTGCGAACTTTTTTCTATAATACCGCACGGCTCGGCTAATTAAAAACTGGCCGTTTTTATAGACTTGTGCGCCGTTTGAAATGGTCTGGACTGTTAGCGGGGGAGGAGACATTAAGAAAAACGTCATAAAACATGTTGAAAAAAAATTTCTTTTTCGGTCTAACGTATATGAAAATGGCTAAAACCGCGCTATAACCCTAGATTTCGTGACTATAGGATAAATATTTTTATAATTTTTGATTATCGGAAGCTACTAAAAACAGTATTAAAACAAACTACAATTTATCACTAGGCAGGTATAGGCTAAACGAAAAGAAGATGCCAACCGACCCCCGCTAAAATAACCGACCCCCGATAACCAGGAAGCACCCAAATAAACGCTACTCAGTTCCACACCATCGAAGTCGAGCAATCTGTCGTGTGCACTGGATGGGGAAATTCCTGATGTGGCATGATCGCCCGAAGAATCCCGCCGCTGAAAATGCATGCATCAATGAAAAGGGGCTTGAGTGAAGTTTGCGGCTTCAGAAAGTTACATGCAAAGTGCCACTCACGCTCACACTCACGTTCACACTCACACTCATACGCACACTCACACTCATACTCACACTCACACTCACACGCACTCAATCACACTCATACACACAGAAACACTATGTTTTTTTATAATATAGTAGGATGGAATGTGCAGATCAAGGGCCACTTTTTGGTATCCTAGACCTTTTTGACGAAAAAACGAAAAATTGAAAAATACTCCATAAACCCACCTGGCCTCCCTGATCAATTCCCATGAACGGCGATCGCCGATATTGGTGCAAGCGACACATGCAACGTACTCCTCATCGGGGTCTTGACAGGGAATTTGGCAAAGGACGGTGAAGAGGAGAAGCAGACCAAGGCGGGAGGGCATCGCAGAATAATGGCAATGGCCATATCCACCACGAATAGCGTTCTCGCGGATCCCACCGGAAACGGCAGGTTGTGATGGTATGCAATCAACTGTCGTCAAATGCAGGAGCGTTCCAATAGAAATGTAACCGTAACGCTGTAAAAATACATCAAAATCATCATTCCGCAATACAACAATTCCGGGAAGTGCGTTTATTCAGAAATTCATGCGTATCACTTCGAAACCGTCGGGGATAGGTATTGTAGGGTGGTCTAGCGGTCGAGGATGGAGATGGCCATCAACAGGAAGCTGATCAGCGGCATCATCGAGCTGGTCGGCGACCCGTCAGATTTCGCGGGCTCGGCCTTCAACCCTGGCGCCGGACGCGAATTGCACAGATCCGTGGCGCACGCGCAGAACTCGCTGTAGAAGGCTGAAAAAAGGGTGCTTCTGCTGGCCTTCTGGAATGGGGCCCCGCTCATCTTGGTGCGGAATTATCGCTGATTCCGCATGCGTTTTCCATTTTTGCCAACTAACCAGATTTAATTTTTGTATGGATAATGGTAAAAACGGCCTTTCTTACGCCTGTAAGTGAACTTGAGCGAAACTCCACCTTGACCTTCTTTTTCTCCTGTTAGCCGATTTTTAAATAGTTCGAAGGCTCGGTTCTGGTTTGTTAGCGGTGGGGAGATTTTTACTGCCGGAAAAACGAAAAGAGGTCCCCCCGCTAACAGCCCAGAACCGAAAGCTCCCACGAAGGAGAAAAATGGACAAATGCGCCAAAGAGTACCTTTGCCTCCAAACTCCTCGCGCACACATTTGCCGATGGGCACCACAGGGCCAGCGTTGGACGGTTTGTACAGACCGCAGACGCGGATCATCCCGCTTCCATCTAGGCAATTCGGTATTTCCCGTGTTAGAGTACAGTTTACCTTCCCCCCATCCAGCGCCCAACTTTTTGTATCTCACCTCCCTGTTGGTCTACAGGTGTGTAAAGTATCTCAAAATGTTCGCCTCGCTTGAGCGAATCTTTTGGTATATTTTACACACCTGTAGGATAACGGGGAGCCGAGATACGGTCGGTGGGGTCGGCTGAGGGGGGGGGGCGTAAACTGCATCACAGGGCGGTAACTAATTTTCACCGTCTGAGTCTTGATCGTAGATCGTCATGCAAGCCTCGCCCACGCACGTCGGCAATTCGGTGCTGTTCTTCAGACATAAACGTAATTTCCGAAAGGCAACCCGAATTTCACCTTCATGCATTTCTCGTGGTACTTCACGCCGGTAGCGGTCACGATCACGTTCAGCCTACAATTCCGATTAGGGAATTATCGGGTTATGGTTCAGTTTGGCTAAAGTCTAGGAACCCCCCGCCCCCCACCCCAGCTGACTTTTCAACTTTTCTACCGTCCTTATTTTTTTTCGCCCTTTTTTGGCTCAAATGCAATGTAGTCTCACTTATTAGCCTACTGCAAACATTTTGGCATACATTAGAGCTCGCCAGCACAAAGGGGGGCCGAGATACAACAGTTGGCGCCAGCTGCCGGGGGAGTCCTAGAATCTTACCTTAAGTTTACGCCATCCCCCCCCCCCAAGCCCAGCTCCTCAGCCATAAGGCACTGCAATGCACCGAATATCTCAAAATGTTCGTCGTGGTCGAAAACCTATAAAAAAAGGTGTTGACTAGTGCAAATTACGCAAACTGTTAGAACGATTTTTACAATAACCGACTGACCGTGATTCGAAAACGCACTTTAGACAAGCAAAAAAGAACTATAGAGAACCCAGACTTAAAATTGCATTGCAAAATTTTCTAACAATTCTCGGTGTTATCAATTTACTTTGATATAAAAAAACCAATGTTTGTGTGTGTGTCTGTGCCACTTTGCATCTAACTTCCGTCATTCTGTCCGGAGGATATCTCAAGAGGGGAAGGGTATTAGGCTACGTACGATACGTCATTAGGTGCGTAATGGCCCTGAGACGACTGCACGCAGATCATATTTATCGAAATTGCCTATTTTCGACATTAAAATTAAGTTTTTGTTGGAAAATCGGCGATCCTCTTTGTTAGGAAAGAATTAGCATGCGCCGGTAGTTCCGGTAGCCTATATACAGGGTGCGGAAAAAGTTTTGGGTGGCACCTTTTTATTGCGAAAAGTTGTCGTTCTAAACAATACCGCGCTAAATCTGTGGTGTCAACATAGATTCGGGCGTGCTCTATCCGATTCTGAGAACCATAATGGTTTAAAAATTATTTTCCGCATGAGAATCACTTTGGAAACACGGAGGCTCCAGAAACGGTACACATTTGGTTGTTATGAACTTTTGGTTATAATGCTCCGGATCTTATCACCAGGCTTTCCAGAGTTTCGGATTATGAAAGACAGGGAATAAGCATTATCCCTTGTAAATCTTACATTTTTTGATCAGCTTTGCTAAACCCTGGGCACAGTTGAGTTGAAAATAAGCAACGTGCCGCGGTTTCCGGCTTTTCAACTTTTTGTGAAGCTCAACCTACAGTTGTTTTGATGTATATCCCACAAATTTCGACGTCAAACATCTTGATTTAAAATATTCATATGCTTAATCTATAATTAATGTGGCAATTCGCGGTTTATGGGCTGTAAGCCCCCCAGCTTCGCAGCTGTTTCCCATGCCGTTAGGGGAATTGCTCAGAATTCAAAGCGCCAGAACTCTCTGAATTTGAATTCAGAAACTTTGTAATTTATTGGGGTGATATAGGATAGGATTGGCAATATCTGGACCAAAGCTCGTGAATTTTGGTGAAGAATGTTGCACAGGGCATACGGTAAGAGCAGCAAAAGCGCTGCGTGCCGAAGGTGATTTTAGCGCGACGCTTTCAGTGCAATTACCCCCGAAAATTTCAAAAATTTTGTTGATTTGTTGGTGCCTAGTGTTTCTCAAGTCACCCTTTTTTAGTCTCCCATTCAAAAAAATCCAGGCTGGAGCACGGAATTTGTGAAAACATAGCTAATTCTGCCACCCAAAACTTTCTCCGCACCCTGTAATGGGCTAGCGAGCGCGGTTTTCATTTTTGTCATCGTAAATCCAAGAATCATGCAAGCATTTGCAGCATCATGCAGCATCATGCATTTTCAACCCTGGTTTACTTTAACTTCTTTATAGGAATTCGCCCACGGCGAACATTTTGAGATACTCCGCGCATTAATAGGACGTATGGCTGAAAAGTTGGGCCGGGCGGGGATTAAAATGATCAGATGGGGCGGGGAGGTGAGGTTTAACCGATAAATCTCCCACGCTTCATAGGTCTGCAATTTTTTCAGGTTCTGGTACGAAGCGCACAAGTAGCAGGTCACTGAATGATAATTTAAGACGCTGGAAGCCTGTAGACCATCATACCACTTTTGACCGCATCACAAAAATCGGGAGCCTGGACCAAAAATAGGAATAGCAGGGACGCGACGAGCCGATGGCCGCACATGGCGTTGATGGGAAATACGGGGAACGCAGCGTTTTTGCGTGGGTTTAGTTTTTCAAATGATTTATGCTAATCGTAGTTTTGATAAACGGGATGCAAATTAGGTTTGCCGCGAAATTCGGGTTCTTTCGTATTATCGGGGACCATCGTTCTCTAGGGATCCAATAATTGTTCTAATATTGATTAGTTGGGGTATTTTCATGTTTATTTAGCATTCTAAGTGCCTAGGATTGCGTAAAAAAATGAAAATGACAGAAGGTCATTTTGAAGGGAGCGCGACAGCAAGTTTGCGGTAATTTTGTTGTTTTTATTGTTAGAACGAAACCGTCATCGTAATTTTTACAAAAAGCCTTTCAATAGGCTTTGGGAAGCGCAGCGAGAATTCGTACATGCCATGTAATTGCCGCAACGGAACGCGCGCGGGCGCGCACGGCCGCGCCCCGCGGCGCGCCGGCTCTCCCGCGCCCGGCCCGCTCCGGCCCCCGGGCGCGCCCCCGGCTGGAGCCGCCCCCCCTACCCTATTCTTCCCGTGACGGAACGCTACCGGAAGCTCAACGCGACCGCAACGCACCACAAATACCGCCACAACGCGACCGTGACGCATCTACCAGCCCGGCTGCCACGCTACCGCGACACACGAGCAACTCGACTGCCACGCACCCGCAACGCGACCGAAAGACCGCAACGCACCTGTCCATGAAGGCATAGCCATTTTGTTCCTATTTATTGTGAAAACCGCTTTGGTTGATAAGACCCCTTTAAAATCACAAAAACATCTCTAAAAACATCCACGAAAAGGTACACAAGTAACGACAGCTTTATAATATTCTTGAGCCTTCATCTCCGTCAGCCGATAAGAAATCCATCGTCCATCTTCTCGCTTGATGACGACATTTTTCGACGTCAAGACCCCCACGTCTCCAGCTCCCTCCAAAAAGCCCAGATTTTTCATCCCAGTCGCCGTAATCGCAAAAAAGTGCAGCTGTTCCCGACCGCATTTTTTCAGCATCTTTTCGGGATCTTCAACTCGATAATACGCGGCTTCATTTAGGAATCCGAACGTCTGGAACTCGTCCTTTCGATAGATATCGTTAATTTGGTGCCAGTTCTCGACCTCCAATGCCTCGCGCGCTTCCGTCAAAAATTTTTGAGCATTTGCTCGGGGTAGAAGATGCTTCATCAAAATCCTGGTATGCCTGGAGTGAGGTGTAAAGCGTTTTGATGCGGAATCGTCGGCACCGCTTTTTCTGACCGACATATAGGCGTAAACCTCCTTTTTAGGGTTGAAAAACCGGCAGTAGCCGGGGAACACGCCGAGCACGGTGGCGTGAAGCAGGAGGTCTTCAGTTTCGGAGGGCAGCAAGCGGTAACAAGGAGTTTTCAGTTCACCTTTGGTGGCTTCTTCTTGTCCTTGACGTTCTGAGGATTTGTCGTGGTCCCATTTTTGAAGTGGCAGCTCCTTGGCCAGCCTCCAGCTCTGCCAACTCGAGCTCGCAAACCGGAAGTAGTCCCGCAGAGGTAGGTTGCCGAGAACTTTGCGTTGCGTGGTGGCGGGCAGATGGAAGAAGAGCGTCTAAAAATCGAGCTTAATCGAGCATAGATATCTCAAAACCACACATTTATCAAATTCTGTGGAACGCGAATAAAAACTCCAAAGGTATAGCCTATGCAAAATCCACAACATTAGGCATTTCCGCTTCAGAATTTGTGCATTATGCCATGAAATTCTATCCAAAAGGTGGCGCCCGACCGCTGTTCTAATGAACAAATGAAATAAGGATGAAAACATATTGATGCAATGAAAAATGATAATCGAAATTACAGTTTCTGGTTAATTCTATTAGTTTAAAAAGGAATTTATTTAACTCACGAATTCGGGCGTCGAGTCCAGCAATCCGGTCGTGAAGTCTAGTGCATCCATCACGAGGGCAGAATTCAGGGCTCTCGTAAGGTATTATGGTGGTTCGTGGCTCTGAAACTGAAAATGATAGATCTGCTATATCAGTCATTCAATCGAATTTTCCCTCGGGCAACCTTGGTGGCATTTCGCAGATGCCGAGGTCAATCTTGTAACATTAATGTGATTTTGCGCGTCGGGACAGAGAGTGCGAGAGAGAGAGAGAGAGAGAGCGAGAGAGATCGAGAGCGAAACAGAGAGAGACAGAGAAGCAGAGAGAGAGAGAGAGAGAGAGAGAGAGAGAGAAAGAAAGATAGAGAGAGAGCTAGAGAGAGTGATAGTGAGAGAGGTAGAGTTATAGTATTTACCTGACTCACAAAATTTGCGTGTTAAGCGAAAAACAGAGCTACTAAAACCAATTTGCTGGATCACGCTATCTATGTATATGGCGCAAGTCCAGTCCCCCGCAGGAAAATTGATAATCAGATGTGCGCGATCAGATAACGACATCAGACGGATCAACCCATACGAGGACGACGATATACTTTTTTACTTTCCTTAACTCGTTCTATCGCTTTTTCTATCAATTTAAGGTGTTTACTACCGATCCAATATTATTTTTCATCGCCCTTTTTCTTGGACCAAAAAAATAATCTATCTAGAAATATTGTTTCAGATGCCATTTCGCCTGTTTCTGGTCGTGGTATTTTGCCTGGACGCTTATGCAAGAAACTTGACAAGTCATAATGGATGTGTTGTCGATCCAGGTGGGACTAATAGAAATAAAATTAACTTAACTCGACTAAAACCATTTAAGCTATTTTAGTTAATGGTCTTTACTAAGCACTTAAATCTGTTCCATTGGGTCTGAAATTACTTTTTCAACGCGGAAAACCCAGAATTAACGCAAAATCTTGTTTTTCAGCCCGCCCCTGTGATTTCGTAAACTCAACCTGGGTTCTCGATGACAACCCCTATTTCCTATGGCCCTTTGACGAGGATGAAGCTGTCGCCAAAAATTGGACCCAATTCGAGGACGCCCAAATCGAGGCCATTTCCAAATTCTGTTCGGTTGGCGACTATCAGCATCGGCTGCTCCTTGCCCACTTCCACTGGATGGCCAAGGACCAAATTCTACTTGAAGAAATCCGGAAATATTTCGGCTTAACTCCACGCAGAAATGGGTATCATCTAGAGGAGGGTCCCGCCGAAAACTATGCAAAAATCGAGAAAAATCTTCAAAAATTCCTGGAGAAATCGAAGAAAAACGTGCCAAACGAAGTGTCGTGGCTCAAAAACTTGACTGAAACCCGAAAATTACTGGATGAAGAGCTGCCAATAATTCGCAAGATTTTTCAACTATTTTTACAGCACCAGGATTATAAGGAGATCCCGAAATTGGATAAAAGGGTATCGGAGGCCTTAAGGATTTCCAGTAATACCCTAAAAGAAGCGATTATGGCCTGCGAGCTGCACAAATTCGAGCAGGCTAGCAGCGGATTCTTGGAGTCGGTGAAGAAAATGGAGGCGGACATGGCAAAGCATTTGGTGGCTTAAATTTCCAGAACTGTCTTTGTAATCAATAGAATAATAAAAAGTTTTATATAACGTTCTTTAATAATGATAAACGCACCTCGATTTCTCGATACCTTTCGGGGTAACTGGAGCGAAAAATCCTAGATACCGCAAACGATTTTTTGCACCTGTTGCCTAGTTGACAGCCAAGGTAAAGAATAATTAATATTACGATATCTGCACAATCCGATTTTACCGTTTTAAAGGATTTAGGAAGAGAAATCTACACATATTCGTAATTTCTAAAATTTGAGGGCACAGAAATATGAAACCTCGATCCTTTAAAAATAGCTCCCCTTCTCTTACTCTCCCTCTTTCTCTGCATCACTCCCTCTCCCTCTCGCCCTCTCTATCTCTCGCACCCACTCTCTCCCTCTCTCTCTCTCTCTCTCTCTCTCCCCCTCTATTTCTCTTTAACTTCCCTGTCCCTTGACACAAACCCAATCAAATCAGCAAGCCAGTTTTTTGCAGCCCCCAATTTCCATGCAGACCAGACGGTTCCTGGTGGCATAGACCGCCTCTTGCCCCCGATCAAACTAGGCACGTCAATAAATTTACATAGAAAAACAGGGAGCCACGATGTCGGGAAGGGAACGACCGGGTGCATTTTTGGAGGGCCCCTGCAGAAAATAGCACTCGATCAAAATTGTCTGCTACAATATTGTTTCGACTTCGAATGGGCCCGAGGATTTTTGATGTTGAGGAGAATCAAAAAAGACAAGTATGGGTTGCATCGAAATGTAGTGTCCTTTACGAGCGTCTTGGAATTTACAAAAATTTACGTGAAGGTTCTGGATCGGCGTTATATTTCGAAAAAAAGATTACAAACTGATTTTTTTGACTAGGAATTCTTGATGATGCACCACGACGATATGCCGAAAATAATTTTCATGAAAATCACAACTTAAAAAATCGTTTCGTCGTGAATATCTTGTTCAAAGTTTCATTTTGATGAGGTTTTTTCCTAGCAAACGTGAAGAAAAATGAAACTTTTGCTGTGAAATTCTCGGATTATTCAACGTGAATAAAATGGTTTTCGACAAAACTAATTTTGAAATTCTGATTTTTAACGAAAATTGAATAATCCGCGAGGGCGTGTCAAGGTTTGCAAATTGCCGCTCTAAACTTGATATTGTTGGCTGTCTTAATGGTCCAGCGGTTTTTAACAATGGTCGAATTCAGAATTCTGTGCCGTTAAATATATTCTTTTGAAGCAGAACATACCAAATTATCGCCATGATTACGTTATTTTAGCCCGTCACCATCCCCTATCTCCGAATCTTTATCCTGATCCTCGGCGTAGCGGCTGTCTCGCTCCCAATTTCCTGCTATTTTGCCCTCATTTTTGCCTCCGCTTGCAACAATCCACACCGAAGTAATGCGGCGGAAATTTATTTAAAGTGAGTTTAAAAATTAGAAGAAATTATAAAGCTGGCCTTAAAAATTCAGTGATACCTCGAATTCACCCATTCTCTACCTTCCAAGCAGGCTGGAATCTACAGCAATGTCGGCATATCCTATCGGCCAACTCCTTACGCTACCATTTTTACCGTTAATTCGGCATATACCGATCAAGTAAGTATCCTCAAAATTTTTTTTTGGAAGATTGTATATTTTATTCTATTTTATTATATTTTTTCTCTTATTAAAAAGTATAAATCCTGTAGCTTAAATTCAACCACAGAACAAGTGGTGGTATGATAAGATATTTGCAAAAGAATAAACGAGAAAATGTTTTTTATTAATTAAGTACATTTTTAGGCTCCAAGTCCTGATCGGCATCGCCTTTTCAAGTATCGTCTCCTTCCTATTCCCACTTTTATATGATGTGAACCGATGGCTGGCTGTAAGTATGAGGTATCTCATTTTTGATAGATTAAGTCATAAAAATAGCCAGACCAGTTCATAGATTTGATTCTGTTTATAAACCCGGTAAAGGTAGTAAAAAGTATCGATTATCTCGTTTTACTCAACGCGGGTAGGCGGAAAGGGCAGGCCGAGACCACAGTCCCTTCAAAACTCCCTGCCCTCTCCCACCCCGCCATGACTCCTTGGCGCAATGGTAGCGCGTTCGACTCCAGATCGAAAGGTTGGGTGTTCGAGTCACTCAGGGGTCAAAATCTTTTGCGTTTTGGAATTTGGGCGGGAGATAGGCTCCTGGTAACTGGATTTGTAGCCGGCAAACGTGGATTGTATTTTTGGGCGAGCTTCACGGGTTTGCCGTCATTTTTAAAGGGCGTTTTTAAGAAAATATTGCCAGTTATTATCCTTATTCTCTGCGCAGAAAGTTTCCGAAAGGCGCCGCTTGATACCTTAACAACGTTCTTGTTGTTTTTCGCATGGGTGCTGATTGATAGCGCTAATTGCAACGTTTTTAAAGACCTGGTTTCCAGATTCTTCCACGGGATCTCGACGGCTGCAGCCGTCCCGTTGCTCGGCCACATTTGCTCCCACTGGGCCCCGAAATCGGAAATCGGGCTGTTCGTCGGAACGGTGACTTGTTTTCCGCAGGTCAGCCGAGCGGGATTATGCCAAAAATCTATGCTAAACTGGGGTGGAACGCCGTTCCGTTGGTGACCAAAAAATATCACCATCAAATATCACCTTCTCAAATTTATATATTTCAAAATTAATCCTCAAATTAATATTAAAAAAGATCAGTAAAAGCTTTTTTTAAGCAAGGTAGTAAAAAGAAGAGAAGGTTATGGATGCCCTAAAACGATGTAATCTTCATTTAACCGTTGATTTTATCCCCCCCCCACCGTTATCCTATAAGTACCGTCTTCCTGCAAAAAAAAATTCAGTTTGCGCTTTTCTTCACGCAAGCAACCTGTGGAGCAATTTGCGAGTACGCTGGCTGGCGCTGGATTTTCTACGTCCACGGGATTGTCACGTTGATGGTGGCGGCGTTGTGGTATTTTTTCTTTCATAAAATCTGTACTTCTAATACCCAGGGCTCTGCTTTTCCACGACTTCCCCAGCGACCACCCGCGCCTCCACCTTGACGAGCTGGGAAAAATTTCGCACGGGAAATTAGGCCACGCGACGACGGCGGCAAGGAGTTCAAACCACGAAAAGTTGAACGTGCCTTATTGGTTGGTAATTTTGGGTTGAGCGAAGATCCTAAAACGTGAGGGTCGACGTAAACGCAATGACCGCGGCGCCTCGGCTTAGCTTCGCTCCGAATAAGAATGAAACTTTTAGCTTTCGGAAGCCTATTTCATTTCGGAGTCCTTTTCCATATTCAGGCAACTCATCACCCACAAAGGAGTCCTCGCTGTCCTTGCCGCCGCTTTCGGGACCTACCACGGTATTTTACCGTCCGTCAACTATGCACCATTGATCATGAAGGTAGACCTAAAAATACCATTAAAAGGTATATATTGATGATCCCCAAACTTTCTGACCTCCGCTAAAGTATCAAAAAATGGCATACCCTAGCCGCGTGAAAAATAGTAAAACTTTTTGTGCCTCATTCGGTCAGGGCCGTTGGCCCGCGACCCTTCAAAAGCCCCTCCCCTCTCTCCACCCGCATGACTCCTTGGCGCAATGGTAGCGCGTTCGACTCCAGATCGAAAGGTTGGGTGTTCGAGTCACTCAGGGGTCAAAATTTTTTGCTTTTTGGAAAGCCGGGGGCAAATAGTTTCCTGTTACCGGGATTTGTATCCGGGGTGGATTTAAAGTGCTTTTCGGACAGTTGTTGTGAGCTCGCAATTCACGATTTTACCATAGAACGCCATTTTAGGCATTAAAAAACAACCTGTTAGTAAATTGTAAGCGGAGAATTGAAATATGCTAAAAACGTATCCAAGGCTTGTGAATACGGCATCACCTATTGTGGTAGTCACGCTGCAAAAACAACGAATTTTAAATTAAATTCTGCTGTTTTAGAAAGGCCTCGAGATGTCTGAAATCACAATCTCCTACTTCACCTCGATAAGTGTCGCCCTGCAAGCGACATTGAAGATTTTGAGTGGTATTTTAACAAAAGTCGCCGATGTCTACTGGCCATTTACAGGCATCATCTCCGACAAGATGACCATGACTGAGGCCAGCAAGCTGAAGATGTTCAACACAATTTCTTGCGGGCTACCCGGAATGCTATTGATTATTACGCCGTTTTTGCCGAAAGGCAACAAGGTGTGGAAATTTTTATGTTGAAAAATCCTATATTTTTTTAGATACTCTGTGCTATCATGATGGTGATATGCCAGGCAATATTAGGGTTAAATTCGGCCGGGTTTAATCGGGCAGCGATTGTGGTTGGAGGGTAGGTTTAGCAGGAGAAGAGAGAAAGAGAGAGAGAGAGAGAGAGAGAGAGAGAGAGAGAGAGCAAGAGAGAGAGAGAGAGAGAGAGAGAGAGAGAGTCAAGAGAGAGAGGGGAGAGAGAAAAGCTAATAACTCTCGTTACATTTAGTAAATACTCGTCAACAATAATGGTCTGGGTGGGCATCATCCTAAATTCTGCCCTCGCCATCCAGCCCTACATCATTTCGTGGGTGGCCCCGGAGCATACTTGGGTTCAATGGTAATTTTTTTACTGCTTGAAATAAAATCGAGTTATTTAAATTACCTTAAATTAATTTGTCATAATTTTTTTCTAAGTAGATTCATTTTATTGAATCAGTTTCTGAAAATTACAAGTCTCTGCTAATTCCAGGATGCCTCTATTCATCGGCCACGGCTCCATCATCTTCCTCTCGAATCTCATCTTTTGCTGGTGGACCAACGGGAAAGCATTTGTCGGGAAGTAGACAAGATTTTTGTATTTATTGGCTTGTATTTAATAAAAATGTAAATATGTATCTTTTGTGAAATTCAGAATCAGTTCTTTGATCGATAGTTCATGGAGGTGACGGCTGTTCCTAAAAAACGATTCAATTGCATTAATAGTTTTCTCACTAAAACTACGGTATCATCAAATCATATTTAATGAATTTTAATTAGGTTGATGAAATTCTTAATTTTTGTAAACTTATTTTTCATGGAAATTTTTGTTAATTTACCTGTGGACGCCTGCCCAGTTAAACTTCTGAATTTTTGTTGCAAAACTTTGACGATTTCTTCGTGTCGGGAGGTGACAAGAAGGACATTAACGACTCCTGAATTTCATCAAGGATAAGACTAATTTAATACCGGGGTTTTTATACCTTTACTAACCCCACAAATATACCACACCACTTGCCAGCTGGCCAGCCCGAACGGGTTAAAAGTCAGGAAAACATCCGGCAGCACTACGCACAGGAACTCGGCTGCTACAGTAAGCCCTGAAAAAGCGTGAATTTTAATTTGACATCAATTTTAGCTTGGTATATTTTTTATTAATGCATTAAACCAGGAAGTTGAAGCTTCGTGATAACTTTTGAGCTATTTGATATTTTTATCAAAATTTTAAACATAATTCCAGCCGATTTTCCGTACGGATGCTTGGTGCTTTATGGATCGGCGCGTGCGGGAAACGGATAAAAAAAGGCATGTTTTTCGCTATTTTTCACGCTTTTTCTACTTTCCAAAATTTTTGTCTCATTGAAAATCCTTTTTGGCAATCAACCAAAATTTATCCGTCAAATTGGAGGCATTAAACACTTTGAAAAGTTTATAAAATAAAAAAAACTTTAATAAGCCGAAATTCCTCAAAAACCTCACCTATCGTTCTTGTCGTGCGAATAATTTGCTTTGTGTAAATTTCACTCGGTTGCCCGCGCTGTAGGCTTCTGGCCATCTGAAAAAAATAGTCAAATTGTTCAAATTTTGCAAAACAAGCTATACAACAAAAATTACCTGTATAATCCTGGCCGTAATCGGCAAGTATAGTAGGCTGCTCAGCACAAGTGTACTCATCCGGAAATACAGCATATAGCGCCAGATCCACGGCTGATAGCACTCGGACGTAAAGCACTCGGCAGAACTCTTACACTTATAGTCGGCGTCCCGGTTTGGATTATATAGATAAAAATCGAGGACAACGAAATTACATAGCAAGATATTACTAAAAATAACTTTAGAAAGATTACACCTTTTCAAACCTGCTATTGTAACAAAGGAAAATTGATTCGTCAGCCCACGATAGAGTCCCAGTTTCATCACGGCGATACATCTGAGAAAAGTAAGGCAATTATTTTTATAATTTTCCATTAAATGTACATACCTATCGATTGATACGGCCATAGTTGAGGCGCCCATTAACTGGTACGAATACAGGAATATGACCGGGAAAACGTAGCGTATACATTCGGTATTGAGGATTTGGATATCGTCTGAAAGTTATATCAATACGTTAAAGAAAAAAATTAAAAAAAATGCTGAAGAAATTTGGATGATGACCAAAACCTGGGATCTGAATTTTGGTTTCAAACCATTACCTAAATCATGAACCGACAGCCACAACCGTACGGAACCGGAATTTAGCGTAGCCAAAGCATGAGACGCATCCGCGATGCACATGAACCCAATTATCACTAGCTCCTTGTGACTTCTAGACGTTACTAAGATTTTCACTTTATTCGCTACGCTTTCCATACTTTTAATAGGTTAAAACCATTGAATTAGGTAAATCTGTAAATTTACCTTAAATGCCGATTCCAGAAAATGAGCATAATAAACGGTATATCGCATAGGAGGATCAAAGAGGCTCAAATGTTCTTGTAAGTGTATGAAAAAGCTGAACCTACAAACTATGGTGAATAAAACGTAGGTGACGTCGACGCCTGGCATTAGAATCTGAATACGGTATACGACGCGCCTGAAAGGCCAAATATTCAGAAATTCTAAAAAAAAGATAATTGTGGAATCAAAAAGTACAAAATTGGGTTCCCGAAATGCATCAAATTTTACCTAAAAATCCGCACAAAGCGTCAGACATCTTTGAAAATGAATAATGCTACAAAATCCGCGGGTCCCGAGAAATTCTCGCGCCAATTTAGCGACTTTGCATTCGACCTGGCCGAACTGACCAATTTCCCACCGGCTTTTGAGCGTTTGGACTATTAGTGCGCCGAAAGCGTGACCCGAACCCGATGTGAAAGCGAAGATCTTGAATTAGGCAAAATTTGGCACAAAACAGCCTATTTCCGGTCGTTTTTTCCGGGGCTGAACTCTGTGAGAAACGGCAAGCCGATGGGTTTGATATTTGCAAGTAGAGAAAAGATCACACAATATTTTTGTAAATTTTATTTTCAATCCACACTCCGGTTCTTTCGCATCGTCGGCGAGCCGAACTTTTTTCTGTATAAGTCTGGAAATGTTTAGTAACTGAATAGCAACGGCGATTTTAGTAAAAAAATAGCGATACGTTGACTATAAAACTATCTAAAAACCGTTAGTTTTGCAAAAATCTAATTTTGGACAAAGATCGGCAATGCTCCCACGAAAAACCTTTATTTTTGACATGCTTAGAAAAATTTTATAAAGTTTTCAGGCCTAAATCTAGTAAAAAAAAACAAAAACAAATTGTATCCTAAGAAAGAATGAAACTAACTTAAAGAAACAAATATTTTCATGGCTACCAAGTATTCCCAGGGCACATTGTTTTCTTGTTCACTTCCGGTTGCCAAAAAGAGCTTTTACACAGAAAGACTGTGACGCCAGCCCTAACCTCGGAGAAAATCTTCTGCGCTATACAACCCACTTATGCATAGATCCACATATAGTTGGCAAAGCTTGTCGTCATCGCCAAATATTTGCCAAAGCAATACCTTCACACCCGCTCGTGAAAAAGGAACAGCCGCAGGGATACAATCACTGCGGACTTCTTATGTCCCAAAAGTTGCAATTTCGAAAGCTCGAGTTCCGGTGCACCCGCGTCTACGATTTACGCACTCCAAACATCCAGCGCTTCACTCACTTTCACAGTTCGCTATGTAGTCGATAAATTATTATGTATTTTGCAATTTTCACTCTCATGGCTGGGGCGTTATACAGATTTATTGGTCCCTGATGAAGAACACAAGTGAAAAAGAGATCCGCAAATGCACAACATAAACACAAATTAGAACAAATTCGAAAATGAAAGACACGGTTAAGGCAATTAGTGAGATCGTTTCTAAGAACAATGAATACACTTAAAAATCCGCATCAAACTCGATTTGACGATCCTCCTCGGAGCTCATCACGCCCGGCTTTTGGTACTCCGAGACGCGCTTCTCGAAGAAATTCGTCTTGCCTTCGATCGAGATGTTCTCCATGAAGTCGAAGGGGTTCTTGGAGTTGAAGAGCTGGAAACAATAGCTTATAAGGGGTAACTAGGGTAAGTCATACCTTATCACAACCAAGCTCAGCCAGCAGATGATCCGCAACAAATTCAATGTACTGCGACATCAACTTCTTGTTCATCCCAATCATGTCGACGGGCAGCGCCTCGGTCAGGAATTCCTGCTCAATCTTGACAGCATCAGCGATGATGTGGTGAATTCTTTCTTGGGAGAGCTTGTTGTTGATATGACGATACATCAGACAGGCAAAGTCCCTGGAAAGAAAGTTGAGTCCGAAATTGAAGGTCGTACCTATGCAACCCTTCATCGCGAGAAATTAGTTCGTTGGAATGGGTGAGGCCAGGCATCAGTCCACGCTTCTTCAACCAGAAAATGGCGGCGAAAGATCCAGAGAAGAAGATTCCTTCAACGGCGGCAAAGGCGATGACACGCTCCGAGAAAGTAGACTTCTGGTCGGCAATCCAACGTAGAGCCCAGTCGGCCTTCTTCTTGATGAACGGGAACTCTTCGATGGCATTGAACAGCATATGCCTAAAAAGAAAGCTTTGAAAGGGATGAAGCCGTTACCTTTCCTTATCGTCTCGGATGTAGGTCTCAATCATTTTTGAGTACATCTCGGAATGGATGTTCTCGATGGCGATCTGGAACCCGTAGAAGAAGCGCGCTTCCGGGACTTGAACTTCTTGGGCAAAGCGCTCGACCTAAAAAGAAAAAAAAATTCATAACAATTTACGGCGTCAACGTTACCAAATTTTCATTGACGATCCCATCAGACGCGGCGAAGAAGGCAAGCACCCGAGAAACGAAGAAGCGCTCATTGTCGTTCAACTTTTCCCAATCGTTCATATCCTGAAAATTGACATTACAAAAAGCAAATAATGAGCTCACCTTTCCCAAATCGACCTCTTCGACTGTCCAGAAAGAAGCGACCGCCTTCTTATAGAATCCCCAAATGTCGTGGTACTGCAGGGGGAAAATGACGAAGCGATTTGGGTTTTCTTTCAGCAGCGGTTCCTCAAGGAGAGGGGCGGGGGCGTGGTGTTCCTGCCTGTCGAGGTCTTTCGTAGCCTAAAAAAATATAAAGTTGATGATCTAATGCATACCGTGACGACGGGGGCGGCATTTTCCTTGTCGACCAAGGTAGTCATTGTCGAAGTTGAATTCTGTAAAAAAGGAGAAAGTCAAGGCAAAAAGCTATCGAAGTCTGTCAGAAATTGAGAACGGAACAGAAGCGAGACATTAGCAGCTAAAAATAGAGATGTCTGTAAGACTATCTGATGATCGTTGCTCTTTTTCTTATTTTTTTAGTCATAGCGATCCTTTAGATAGAGTAAATGATTAGAATCTAGTTATCAAGAACCTCTTGAAAAAACTTCTGCAATATTCGTCTTACTATTCCCAATCATGCGGGCTCGCTAAGTCTGCAAAAAACAAAGAAAAAAGGTCAAAGATAAAGCAGAACGCCCAATCAAGCCAAAAAAAACTGAGGAATTGGATAGGTCGAGTTTTCTAACACCCGTGAGCCGGCCGCCCTTCGGCGCTGCGCGACCCAGGCCCTTACCGCTACGGTGTCATCTGCAATCGCGCGGAACGGAAGTTCGGTTTGGATTTTAGCGTGGAAAAAATCCCACGGAAGCGTCAGCGTTGTTAAAATTTGAAAGGGAACGCGCTGTTGATTCGCAAAAACCCCAGCACGCGTCCAGACCTGTTTGGGTGGGCGAGGCAAGAGGAAAAAGAACGGGAGAGGGAGAGACAAAGGGCCGCGCCGTCCCTCTCTTTGCCCCGCGCACTTTGCCACACTGAGGACATGGGCCGTAAGCAATCGGCCTGTTTCCGACTCGGTACGAGTATTTTGTTGTATTTTAGATAAAATTTAGGTTATAATTTTTAGGTTACAATTTAGGTCACCAGGTAGCTTTTCCTTAAAATTCTATTGGCTGCAACCGAAATTTTGCATTTTTGCAGTCATTTGGCTCCGTTGCGACGATTTCCGTCATTTTAGGCGGTTGCGAAATCTGAATTTAGGCGCGAACGCTTATTTACGGAAATTTGGGCTTGAAATCAGCGCGTATGAAATGAGAGACATGTAGCTTTCTGGGATGTTTTTCGTTCCTTTACTATTATTATGGCAAGTCAAAAAAAGGGGCAAGCTTTCTATAAATTATATCGTCTCGTGGGGTAATTCACTTCACTTCGTCTCGTCCGGTAATTCTTTGTTATTTCTAGTTATTTCCCGCTTCTTAAAGATTTGTAAACGGATGAGGATTTTTGATCAGGCGACTTTAAAAAACACAAATATTTTCATGGTTACAACGTATTCCCCTGGGCACGATTGTTTTTTTTAAATTGTTCACTTCCGGTCATCGAAAAGAGCTTCTTCGAAGTCTTTTTTCATCATTTGATCCCTTTCATTAATGTACTTTCGTTTTCAACGCTGTGATCAAAATATGAACGCTTTATCAACCCCTAAAAAGCACCAAGATTCCTCTCCGATCGCACATTTGAGGAGGTGAGCACAGTTGCTAAAAAGAGGGAAGGCTTTATAGCACCGATATAAAAACCCGAACCAAGAGAACAAAAAATGACAAGATCCTATCGCATAAAAACCGTACTGGCCGTCGGCTGCTTCGAAAGGCGGCGGAATTTTCGATTCAGCAACTTGAAAATCTCGTCGTGTTGTAGGGTGACGAGAAGGACGTTGATTGCGCCTAAAAATACGCAGCGTAATACGAACGAGAGTAGTACGATAGTGTAACTGCGCTGGTCACGGTGGGTAATTACATAGGATTATTCCGGGAACCCTGCGAACGAAAAAATTAGGCATTTCTTAATTGAACGTAGTTAATTTGATAAATTAAGAAACAGTAAAGTTTGGATATTAAACCCCCTATTCCTAAAAATTCTACAAAATCTAATAAAAGCATCAAAGAATGGAAGCGCAAGGCATGGCTGGCTTTACTGACTATGGATAGCTGATGGATTTGGACACAACCGCGACACTCAACGTGCACGCTACGCACGTAACGAAATACTATTGTTTGCGCGTCATAATCGATTACGATGTGCAAAAGCGGGCAAGCGCCACAAGTCACGCGCCTGCTTTGTTAGCTATTATTTTCAGCGTCTTACGCAATGCAAAAGTAAGCGTACGCTTTGCCTGTTGTCACGTGGAAAATTTCGTCGAGTAGGCCGCCGTCATTATCGTACCATACGCGAAAAAAACCAAAAAGCACGAGCGCTTGCGCGTTGTTTGTCGCTTTGCGCGCCGAAATCCATACGGAATCTAGGGCCAAGAATCCAGACGCATGCCTTGCCAATCCCTTTAATCCCCCTCTAAACCCACCTTTACTAACACCACAGATATACCATATCACTTGGTACCGTGCCAGGCCGAATGGGTTGAAATTCAAGAATATATCTGGTATCACCACGAATACAAACTCCGCGGCTACCGTAAATCCTAAACAGAAAACTTGAATTTTTAGTGCCAAAATAACCTATAGTCCTGGTCGTCTTTATAATCTTCCGGCTATAATTATCACTGCTAGCGCCTCGCTTTAGCGCGTTGGCCATCTAGAGGTACGTTGCTTTGGATTACGGTAGTTAATATACCTTATAGATCCGCCAAGATATCGGTAAATACAGTAGGCTGCTGACAATTAGCGTACTCATCCGGAAAAACAGCATATAGCGCCAAATTTCCGGGGTGTAGGATTCGGAGGTGAAGCAATTTGGGGAGCTGGGCAGGGCAGGACCCGTTTGTACGATGTAGATGAACAACAGCGCGATGATGGACACATAGAGGATTACTCCTGAAAAATGAAAATTAGTTATCCGCTCTGTCAATCCCTTTCCCGTGTATTCGACGAACTTTTCTGGCGGAGTTCTAACAAAATTAGCACTTCCGCTTTTCCCCGTACTTCCCCCAAAAAAAAGGCCTGTGAATTCCCTGTTTTTCGCAGGCCAAAGTAGTTCGGGCTGTCCGGAACATCACCCACCTGCCATTATATAAAAACTGAATGCGTTGGAGAGGGTACGGTAGTAGACCGGTTTCATCACCGCGATAAATCTGAAAATTAAATTAAGTTTTTATCGCACACTACCTAAAAAACTTAAAACTTCATTTCCACTTACCTATCTATCGAAACCACCAAAGTAGCAGCTCCCATAAGTTGATAAGAATACAAGAATATCACAGGGAAATAATAGCGTATACATTGGGTATTGGTAATCGAGTTACCACCTGAAAATAAATCTATTTATTGATTTTTTTATTATAATTACATAACCTTAAGCATCAAATTCAACCGCAAAGTGTAAATCCATGTACTTACCTTCATGATTTAGTGCTATCCATAACCGTATCGCTCCGGAAACCAGAAACGCGATAGCATGTGCTGTATCGGCTATGCACATAAACCCGACGATCACCAGCTCTTTTTGGCTTCTGAAACGTAAGATCTTAGGGTTTTAAGTCTAAGTTTTAAGTTTATTGTGCGTAGCGGATACGTTGCGTAGCACCAGAGGCGAATTATCTGCGTAACGCGCCAAGGGATGCGTTTCGTGCGTAAGGAATTTTATGCACTGACAAACCGGAAACTGTTTTCTCACCTCAAATACCTATTCCAAAAAATCATCACAATGAAGGGGACATCGCAGACGATGATTATCGAGGCTAAAAAAATGTTTGCATACCTTGAAACAACTAAAAACCTTACCAATAATGATATAAAGCGTATAGGCCACTTCCGGTGGTACCGGATTATCGACCGGCATCTCTTCGGCTTCTCCTAGGGTAGATAATTGAGATTTTAGGGAGGTAGCCTCCATTTTAGCGTGTTTTAAGAAATCACAGACGTTGGGGTGAGAATGGTAAATTCCAGATGTTTTCCTTGATTTTTTTAATCAGAATTTTCGACAGGAAATGGTTGTTTTTCCCTCGGGTGACCAGGCACGCCCTTTTGCGCAAAGGTGCGTTGACTGGCGGCCCAAATTGGCAGCTGCAAATTTGGGATCGGGAAGTTAATGAATTGTTTTCCAAATGATGCTCCCCGACCAGGATGGCCCAAACTTAATGAACGCCAGAACTAACATTTCGTTTTGTTCGGTCAAAAAACGAGGAACTGTTAAGTGTAAAGTCACCGCAAGCGGGTTAATAACTTTATTGTTAAACGTGTTGAGCTTTCCGTTATATAATTTTCGGCTCTATAAATATTTGAGCGGTCACTTTCACAATGTCGTAAATCCCAATGTCGAATTTAATAATGATAAATTCATAATGTCGAGGTGTCATAATGTCGAATTCTAAGTAAGCGATTCTCCCGCAAAACACCCATATTCTATGCAACGAATTTCGACATCGATTTCGACGTTTTCAGTTTTAGCATTATGATTTTCGACATTAAACCTATTTTATATATCCAGCCAGTCATAAGGTTTATCAATGGATGAAGCATATAATTCCAAATACCAAAAACCGACAACGTAAAAAGCATAAGGATAATTTGGAAAAATTTCAATATACTATCTATAACTACGAAACAAACTAAGCTTCTAAGAGCTCAAAACCCGTTCAAAATCTTATTGGCTCTTTCGCGAAAAGCTCAAATGCATTATTTTCTTCACCGGCTCTTGAGAAACTCTCAACAAATTTTTTTCATCAGACTTTTTTAAAGATTCCCCCGTGCTCCCGTGCCAGGCTAGCCTTGACAGACCGCGTGTAAAACTACGGAAGCCTGATGGAAACTGGATTCCTACGTGAAAATTGGCGTTTTTGAAATCAGGCACATGAGAATATAATGAACGCTACGCTATGTAACTAGGCGTGTAGGGTCGTTACGAAAAACGCTACGGCCAAAACTCGAGACCAAGAAGCTTAGTACGACCAACGTGAAAGAAAAAGAGCGACAGAGAGAGAGAAAGAGAGAGAGAGAGAGAGGGAGGGAGAGAGAGAGCGAGATAGCGAGAGAGAGATAAAAAGAGCGAGAGAATTGCAATAACATCGGCTAGATTAAATGACCAAACTTGTAACTTGTAGCATCCACAATTTGCACTTGGTAAGCAGCCAAAGCTAGTCGCAAAACACTAAAAATTGATGGAATAATTGCATAGTTAATGGAATCAGCTGTAGTTTGGATAGTGGAGTAGTCATCCTATGAAAATCCTGAGGTTAGAAATTCTTAGAAAAACCTTAAGAATACGAGAAATCGCCATTTTTATGTTGTAAAACATATATTTCTACCATACCCCACAAGAAAATCACATTTTTTGCTTGTAATCAAATGTTGGCCCGAAAGGTCGGAGGTTAATAAAATGACGGAGTTTTCTAATCCCTTCCCAAAAGGGTGGGTGGGCTGAAAATGCAATTTCCGGGGGTTTAGGTCAACATTTAGAGCGCCGGTTACGCGTTGCAAAATTTTTCCAAAATATTTATTTGGATCCACTGGCTCCAAAAGAATCGCAATCTCTTTACCAGCATGCAAAAACGTCAGATTTGCATAAAAGTACATCCTACTATATATAAAAAAAATAGTGTTTGTGTGTGTGTGTGTGTGATACTTTGCATGCAACTTCCGTCACCATGTCCGGAAGATATCTCGATAGGGGAAGGTTATTAGGCTACGTATGATACGTCATTAGGTGCGTAATGGCTCTGGGATGACTGCACGCTTATTAGATTTTACAAAATTAACTGTTTTAAACATAAAATTTTAGTTTTTGTAAAAATTTCGGAAGCCCTATTTGTTAGAAAACAATTAGCATGCACCGGAAGTAGACAGAGCCTATATAATCAGGTAGCGAGTGTCATTTTTCATTTTTCCTCATCGGGATTCGAGAGACGTATGCAGAATGAAGAATATGATGGGGTTAGACGGGGCCAGGGTTGAAAAGTCGCGAAGCGGCTTTTCAACCCTGGTCTTAAGTTAAAAATGTCTAAAATTAGTGATAACAGGTAAAAATTACGGTATCTAGGGGAGAACTCTACTCTTTAGACTCGTGAAATGAACTAAAAAAAATTTAAAAGAAAAACGTGACCGGCAAAAGCCTTCAAATTATGATGTGAAAATTCGCACGCAAATTTTCTACAGACGGAGTATGGTACCTCGACCCCAGAAAAACTACATTATTCTTGGGGTTAATTAGCTGAGAAGCTGGCGGCCAGCAACTGTACCAGTATGATAAAGTAGTTGAAAAAAACTGCAGGTCAGTTGTAATCTTTCGTAATTCAAGGCACGTGTAAGGCATGACCATGGATTTTCTGCGAATTTTCAGTGCCGGTAACGCGCTACACGCTGCTGTGCCTCTTTTCTATGCCGTAATGTTTTTTAATCTAAAGGGACGGGCAAGGTTTTCTAATTTCTTACGCATTTTACGAAATTACGATACGCCCCGTTTCCATCAGGTGAGATATCTTTGTGGATTTTCAAGGAATTTGTAAGATATTACTATAGATTTTTGGTGATGGATTTCCAAAGCATCTTCACGCACCCGCGACACGCAACGCGAGCCATTGTCTTTGCGTTGAGTCTACCAATCATCAATTATTCGCGGCGTTCACGTCGCGGGTCGCGGGCGCGGCGATCCGAGCCAATCCATAGCTAGAAAAACCATACTTTTGCATGCCAGGTACCTTTAAAGGGTCGGGTTTTCGAAGTTTTATAGTTTGAAATCTTTTAATAGCTTTTCGAGACCCTTTCGACAGTTTAATTTCCTAATTCTGCAGTTTTCTAATATTTCTTTGAGCCAATCCTTGCTTTAATCAAACCTCCAGGTGAAATTAAAGCCATAAAACCAATGCGGAAAATCACCCCCGTCTACCGCAAATAGGCTTGCCCTAAAAACGGAAGTAAAAATGCCAACTAGGTAGGAAAGTGCGTTTCTGGTCAATCAAATTATGTTTTATCTGGTTTTCTGGGTGTGGACGAGCTGAGGGTGTCGAGAAAAGTGCATAAACATTTCCATCCAGCGACAAATTGACACTGGGAAACTAATGAGAAACCAGTCGAGTGGGTCAATTTGCGCCCATCCGGATGTCCAAATGATGGCGTAAAAAGGTTGGTCAGGAAAAACCCCGGAAGCTGTTTTTAAGGTATTTTTTAAGGCGACAGCTTACAAGGGAAAGGCAAAAATAGAAGTTGGTGTTTGGAAATGGGACCCTGCCCAACCAGTGCAGAATTTTTTAAGCTCTTCCCAGATTCAACTTTTAGAGGTCTTTTAAAACGCCTTGGAACAATGGTTTGCGAAAGCTTCAATAATGGACATATATCAGAAAACTTTCGATCATATTTTTTACAATAGCCTCAATATTTCATTAAATTCTGGAATTATATTTCAAGAAAAAGTGATAGCGTTAAGGGTAATGGCGTCTGCAGTTCATTAAAGCCGTTATAGCCGCATTATTAGCATTTTTATTGGGTCGGCTGGTGGCAGCAATATGAAAGAAGGGCTCTCAATATAATAAAAACCTAGTTTTGCCCATTGCTATTTTAAAATTCAAATTCGGAATCTAATTGGTTTCAGGGAAAGGGAATTTAGGTAAGAATTCATGGAATTCGGCGCATAATAGAATTGATTTTTAATGGCTTCGATTTCAAAAAATTCATGGAAGATAGCCGGCTAATATACTATGTCACATATCATAAGTATCTTAAGTATAGCTTTTAAGAAAAACCGGAAGTAGATTTGCTACCGGGTAGAGGATAAATTGAAGAGCCCCGAGAATGGCCCGGGCGCTCCCCTCTGATTATTCATGCCCGGGGGCGCCCCCGAAAATGTGGGCACTTTAGATGGGCGGAATCCAAAAAAGGAAGATGATGATGACCTCATCAGCATCATAAGGTTCTCGTAAGGACGGATGTCTGATTTGATTAAAGGAGACGGCAAGGCTGTGCAATGGTTTTAAAAACCCCGCGGGACCCGCGACCAAATGCAGCAAAGGATCGCTAAGGCTTTACCATCATATAAATTCTGTCGATTCTGATTGCCGCCGAATTTCGTAGCGCCCGCGACACGCAGCACGCACGCAGCGTGATTGCCGTTTTTAGGAGGCTAATACATCATCCAGGATATGCGTCATGAAAATCCAGGATATGCGTTGCGTGTCGCGGCACAAGAGGTTCACACTGTCTACTGTTTTTCTTCGTACTTCCATCCTGTTACGATAGTGCCACGCCCGTGACGCCCGACGCCTACTCGTATTCCATTCTGTTATGGTTTTCGGCTTCACAAGCCCTTTCGGAGCCTTTCAAAAGAGGTATTTTCGTAAAAAGTGTCTAGTTCTCCCATTTTTATCCATTTCTTCCTCCGAATTTCCCGTAAAAGCTTGATTTTTAGGCATCACAAACTTTGCAGGAAGTCTGTGATTACCGAGTGCTTTTTCTATCCCTTCCCGACACTATTTTCACAAATTGTTGAAAGGGCTCGATTGTCGCCATCTCCGATCCAAAGGTAATTATCGGATCTTAGAAAACGGCGCATTTCGACCTCTATGATTAATGTTGAACTGTACTTTTCACCCCTTTCGCCTTCCGGATGATTTTTGGGTTTTTGGAAACTTGCTTTCTCGTAATTCTTGTAATTCCTGGAGTGTGGCGTTGGTATAAGATAGAAACTCGGATATCTGTAAAATTTGAGGGCAGCATCTGAGAAAATACTTTTATTATTAGGGGATAAAATTCGCAAAAAAACAGTGAGATCGTGGATTTGGGCATGGAATGTCTAGAGGACACCGAAGAACCGCGCCACCTGCGAGAGAATGGCCTTCTGGACGGGCGGGATGCTCTGCTCAACCTCTTCAATTGATGGGATATCGATTTTCGGGATGTCTTCAAGTCGTGGCATCGTCAGGGGAGCAAGGGTGGGCATCTGGGGCATGCCTGGAAGAAAAACGTGAATACAACTGTTTTTCCTGCAAAAACTTATAAATCCCCTGTTCCTTATAGGATTTCCCGACAAACGTTAAAAAAGCAAAAATTTATGGAGGTATGGGGAATTGAACCCCAGACCTCTCGCATGCTAAGCGAGCGCTCTACCACTGAGCTATACCCCCAGGCGAGAGAGGGGACGGAGCAGGGCGCTATCAGCCTTTGGAGATCCCCGGCTGTCAGTGGCAAGAGGCAGGGGATGCCATTGACACAAGGAGCTGAGTTACGGTTCCCAAGGCACACCCGAAGTTTTGAAAAGGTCTTTTTATATTTTTTTCTACGTTTTTCGATTATTGCTAAGTCGTAGCCTCCACGTAATACTATGCCTAAGCCTAGCTTACCATTGACAAGTTGCTGCTGGGGCTGCTGGGGGAACAGATTCGGGAAAAGCTGGCCGTTTTGCTGCTGCTGGTTATAGTTGTTAGCGGGTTGGTTGACTTGTTGGATTCCCTAAAAATTACTCGCATAGGATATTTTGTCGGTTTTGTCAGTAGTTTAGGTAGTTAATCAGGTGTACCCCTGTACTCAAAAATAACTGCTTAAGTGAGCTAACCGGAAAAACCATTTAATTAATTTTTTATACCTTTTCTACAACTTAACCTTACCTGAGCCTGAGGCAGCGGCTGAGGCTGTTGCTGTTGAGCGGTGGGTTGATAGTTCACTTGGGGAGCCTGGGGGAGGGCCTGGAGCTGGGGCTGATTCCCAAAGAGGTTCAGGGTAGTTGAAAGTTGGGGCTAAAGTATAAGTACGTCATAAAAACCGAAAAAATGGATATTACCTGCTGGAAGGCTTGGGCGAATTGTTGCATCGGCTGCTGGACTTGTTGCTGTTGTTGCTGAACCTGTTGAACCTGCTGCTGCTGCTGTTGCTGGTACTGCGACGGCTGAGGCATGGTTCGCTGGGGGTACTGAGTTGTCGCCTAAAGATCTCGGTTTTCGAGAGCGAGAGGGAGAGAGAGAGAGAGAGAGAGAGAGAGAGAGAGGGAGAAGGAGAGCGAGAGAAAGAGAGACAGAGAGAGAGAGATGCTCACCTGGGGAGCGGCAGGTCCATTCTGTCCAAAGTACTGTTGCTGCTGGTACTGTTGTTGTTGATTAACAAGTTGGGCAGGTTGAGGCTGAGCATCTACCGAGGCAGCTGGGACGAGCTGCTGTTGTTGGGGGAGTTGAGGAGTCTGGAAGCCTGGGGGCTGGCCGAAGACCTGAAAAGAGTGGTATGAGGTACGCTTTGAACAATTCTCTTCTAGATACCTTTCATTCCCTAAACTAGTTTCAAAATCAATGAGAAGTTTTTATTATAGCGAATGAGATAATTTAGGGTATTTTATTCAGCTCGTTATATCCGTTACCTGAGTCGGAGCGGCGAGAGCCTGAGCGTTGTGCTCCTGGACTGTTTGGAGCTGGATGTCAGATGGGGCGACATCGAGGGGATTCTGAATTTTCCAAGATTTATAGGACGTACGCAGTTGCGTATGAACACTTGTACAGACGTTAGCTAAGCTATTTTTTTTGCTTTTCGAAACGCTAAACCTGCCAATGTTGTTTGAAAAATAGAAAAAGCATTGATTTTCGCCCAAAAATGTCTTCTTTTGCGAAAAAAAAACCCTATCAGAACACATGCGAACGTTGCCAAGCATCCTGGGCTCAGGAACAAAATTGAATATCCGATGGTGCGAAATAACCATATGGTTTACTTAAATTATTACCTTCTCCAGTCCACGCTGAGCCGATGGAATAATCGCGTTGTTAGCAGTAATCGTCTCAGAAGCTAAAATTCTGATTATAACAATCTTTGGGAATTTTTACCGGTCTCCTCATCCAAACACTGCATCCTGCGGACGTGCACGTTGTAGATGATCGTTCCATTGTCGGCGATAATTTTGTTCAGGTTGGCAATGTAGTCAAAAGCGACGAGACGACCGCTTTGCGTCACCTAAAAATCTACTATAATAATTTTCTTGAGGTGTCTGTCTGTCTGTCCGTCCGGTCCCGAATTCAACTCGAAGGGGAAACGAGCTAGAGCTTAGGTCTATTCAGATTCGGATAGAGCGTGGTCAGAAACCCCCAAACTGATAAAAAAAATTATGAAAAAGTTTAGTTTAAATTATTAAAATTAACTTTGGAAGTTTTTTTCTTAGTAAAAGGGGTGGGGTGGAGGTTGGGGTGATCTTGGACATAGTGAGCCAGATGGCGCGCGTTTCGGCGAGGGGGAGGGAGCGAAGGGGGTAGCCCGAAGTCCAGCTGGTTTAAAACATCTTTGCAAGCCTTGATAGCCCTACCTCTCCTCCGACGACCATCTGACCGGGGTGCAGCTGGGCGATTCCTCGGTCTTCCGAATTGAAGAGAGGTCCGTAGGAGCAGCAACGGGATTGGAGCCTAAAGTCGTTCCTTGCTATTTTAGGTAATCTAATATTTAATATAAATTTATCTATTAATTCAGGCAGTCGCTAGAGCGAAAAATTTCGCCGTCATGTCTGAGGTATAAAAATATCTTATTTTTACTTTGAACTTTGAGAAATTTGCATTTTTAAACGTTAAAATGGGCGAAAATTGTCCTACACTTTTGACGAGCAATAAAGCTTTATGTTTTACGCCAGTTTTAAAACCTTAATGAGAATTTACACCTTCTCGGTTCGGTGATTTACATAGCTACAGCTCTAACGACAGTAATCGGTAATTTTCGAATTACGAGTCCAAGAGGTTCGCTTTTCACGAAAAAAAAATAGAAAAATCGGGATTTTAAAACCCGGAAAAATTTATTGACTTGGAATTTTAATTTAATTATGATAATACAGTTTTTTCTATTCTCTCTAATTCCAACTTTCTGCAGTCACCCACGTTTTTGAGTAGGCATCCGACTGTGGTGCAAGCCCACCGATCCACTGCCCGGCGTCACAGCCGTTTTGCCGATAGTTGGTCTCGCAGCTCTAAAACAGAAAAATTACCTTAAAGTTTGATCTCTTTGTCTTGGCCTCTAATTTTACCCTACTTTGAAGCTTTGAACTCTCGATATTCTCGAAAAAAATAAGTAGAAAAGTCTGGGAACGCTAGCTATAATTTTGTGAGAGCGTCATGTGGTCATGGAAATTGTCGTAGTCGAAGAAACCTTCAAAAACCAAAAAATTCGGCTTACCGAAAGCTGGGGGACGAATCCTTGGGTTTTGAAGGGCTGGCGGAGAAGAACATCGGATCTGGAAAATACCAAAAAATTTTTGAAAACTACGGTAGCTAGGCCAGCCTAAAAAATTTCTTACGCTGAAAGCAATGGGGGAAGCTAGAAAAAAGGTAGTCTTATTCAAAAAAATTTATTAAAGCTGTTAAATTGGATGTTACCTCCTCAAATACCCATCCTCCTTGCCATTAATGCGGTAGAATTGGGCGGAATCCGCTACTCGAGTGCCATTAGCGGTCCAGCCAAAGCACCTGGGTCGTGCGCAACCTAGCACTGGGTATCCGGCTCGGAGGACCTAAATTTATATACTTTTAAAAGCAGTAATTCGTGTATTAAAATTTATTTGACACGCCAAGATCCATAGCTAAAGATTTCCGTTTGTAAAAGAAGCAAAATACCTAATTTTTGGAAACCGCAAAAAATTCACTGAATTAATTCACTTTGGGATTTCTTTAAAAAACTTTCTTTGGAAGTTTTTATGCTTTTAATATCATTATTATGGCGTAAGAATAAAACTATTGTAGTAAAATTGACGATTCGACTCCAATGTTAAAACGGTAGGTTTGTGATTTTAGCGATTTCGGCAATTTTGCTATTTTATAACACCCTAGGAAGCGCTTCGGAAGATTTGTTTCCGTTATCGAACAGTTAATTAGAAAATAAATATTCAATTTTATTAAAAATTACTTAAATTATTTAAATTAAGGCCTTCTGGTAGTTTCTCAACCAAATTATGTACCTGAAACGTGAACGGCACGGCAGCTTGCCCGCAAAATGAGGCTACGGTAGCGCCGACTAGCCCAAGCAGCAAAAATGGCACCATCCTGCAAGTGCTCAATTTCGTTGGACAGGCAGTAGATGAACAACTTTACGGAGAAGGTGAAGAACTAGGTTAAAGAAAAGAGGACAACTTCCCGGAAAGGCTAGGAAAATAATCCGGGGGCCACCGCGGGGTTTTGCAAGAGATCAGCCAGAGGGTGGCGATCGGACGGCTTGAACTGGTTCCCGCCGAGGGTTTGTGGATAGCTGCCTTTTTTGTGTGAATAGACCGTGACTGCCAAGGGATGAATAAACAGTTCGGAAACTCTGGATTGGCGAGGTTTTCAAGTGTTTAGAAGGGAAGAACCCAAAGCAAAGCCGAGAAAATTGGCAATCACAAAAGCTGAAGCTATTGATGGGAATTTTTCAAAGGGTATTTAGTTTATTCATATCGTCACATTTCTACTGAATTTTGCAAAAATTTTGCACTACACTAATTTTGCGTTTTATGTTCGGATAGCCATGTAGGTCTCGATGAAAAACCAGAGAAAAACGGAGTGTAATCTCTAGCCTTATCAAAAATTCACCATCCTGCAAACCCGATTGGTTTACTGACGTAACCTCGAAATTCATAATGCCGAGATCTAATGTCGAAATGTCAGTATGTTCAAATTCAGAATGCCGAAATCTCAAATTTTTTTGCATTATAGTTTGGGGTTCTTCCAGGAGATTTGCTCATGTAAATTTCGGCATTATGAATTGCGACATTTTGAAAATAACCGTAATCGATTGATGTCTGACTTTACTGTGCCGTTAAAACAGCCAAGGTAGCAGAAAGTCAAACGAAAATTGATATGCGTGATGTCAGGTCCTGATTCTCGAATTTTTATATGCAAGAACAATGCTAATAGCGCTCAAACGCCATCAAAACCGAAGCTAACCTAAATTAGCTAAATTGTCCCATTTTGGATTGCCGGGCACTTTAATAGCGAAAATTAGAGTATTTTTTTTTTTGCTATATCTATTATAGCTCATCGAAGGACTAAGACAAGGCTAAAATAAGGACATCACCCGCAATACCTAGCCGTTTTGTGGTCGGCCACCGGGTGCGCCGGGTATCGCATGCCCCTAGGGCACAAACCGGCTGCTATGCCCTCTCCAGTCTCCTATCCACCCCCTCCTATGGCTTTCCGATGTCGATTTTCAGGATCCGGTAGAGCCTGACCCCACCGCCGGGAGCGTCTCCACCGCTTCTTTCTCCCCCCGCTTTCTCGCCCTCCCGATCCGTTTCTTATCCCGAACCGGAATGCCCGTTTTCTGCCGAATTCCGCTGCTCCCGCTTAACCCCCCTCGTATCCCGGGTGGTCAGTCACCTGGCCGGATCCGGAGCCATGTTTCAGTCCATCCAGCCTGTTAAGACTTTCCCTCGAGACTGCTGTCTTGATTGGGCGGAATGTACGTACTTTCGCGTAAAAAGTGGTTGAGCTGGATCAGTGGAGGGCCTCCCATTGAATCAAGATACAAAAGGTAAACTAGAAAAAGTCTATGAAACTGAAAACTCAACTCTTGGTACGATGGTGTGGTTCTTTCGCATTATCGGGGGGGACCATTTTTCTACAAGTCAAGAAGTGTCTAGTAACGTAATTTGAAGTGTTTTTACTAAAATTTAACTACATTTTTAAAAAATCTAAGAATCGTTTGTAGGGTGAAATTTTGACGCAAATCGGCTATTTTTGGTCAAGAAATCGCTATTTTTCGGATTTTAATCAAATTTTTCTTTTAACAGTTTCTGTCTTTATGAATAGTAACACTTCGAAACAGTTCTTATATTTATACGAGAAAAATCGGGTCCTTAGGGAAAGTTGGTTACTGGTTCCAACTTTACGTATTTTCGGAGTGCCGAAAAATAGAAAATTTGGAGTTTTCTCAGAGAAAAACCATTCGAATGTCTTAAAACAGAAAAATAATAATTTAGATGATCTTATGAAGGCTCCTAGAAACATCAGGACGCTCAGAGTTTGGCGTTTATGGTACGAAACGATGAGTTTTATTTCTGAAACATCCAATTTTTGTAAAGTATTATCGTACTTTTTAACCGCCAAAAATCAACCCATTCCTCCCTGACTTTTACCTCAAACCGTTTCAACAACCACAACCCCACTTGGACTACCACGATTCTTTGTCCCTAGGGCCCTTTTTGTGTTTGCGGTCGGGCCGGGCGTATTTTTGTCGTGTGCGCTATTTGCTGTAGCCCCTTCTTCGGGTGGGGTACACCAAAAATTCGCGAGACAACGCGCTATAAAGTCAATATTTTTAGGTTGGTATTAACGGGAAGCCGCTTCCTACTAAAGCATCCCAAAAAAGCACGAGACGGGCCTATCTTTTCATAAAAAAAACTATAAAACCAAATTTTGTAATAGTTATAGAGACTTTGTTAATATGACAACACTTTGTACTTCTTTCCTTTTCCGCTTCGATAAAGCAGCTTCTTGATAAAACAAACGGAAAACGAGAAGAGCCGGTTTTAGTATTACTGATAAAACGTAATAACCAGCAGCTTTGTAAAATTTTTATAGAATATCATTTTGTTAATAAGATCTGTTCTTTTTTTTACTACTATTTGGCTTCTCTATCCCATCCCCCGGCCCGCCACCAACAAACAATGAGTCACCCCGGCCATTTCGTAACAAACCAACGAGGGCTGGGGGTACATAAGGCCATGAAATTCCCAGTCCCGGCTCCCAATTGCTAGGTTTCCATGAACTTTTCTTTAAAATAAAGTATTTCCCGTGCTTTTCTGAAACCATTCTTGCTAAAATCGAAGTATCGAACTTTCCCATGGCCATTTCAGTCCACCGCGCCCCATTCAAAGTAATGCCCGACTTTTCGTGGCTTTATCTGCTTGTTTGCTTATTGAAAATCGAAAGATTTAACGTTTTGTTCTCATCTTTTTAGTTGCGATCAAGTTTTCATTTTTGAAAACAAGTTTTCCGGTATTACCGAAATTTTCCCTAGCTAAAATCGAAGTATCGAACTTTCCCAAGCCCATTTCACCCCCCCCAGCCCCAATCCCATTCAACGTAACGACCAACTTTTCAAAGTATTATTTGCTTTTTTTAAGTATAAAAACGATAAATGTATTGTTTTTCTGTAACTTTTTGGAAAAAGCCGGCCGAAAAGCCTACGCACCACTCCTCCGAGCAGTTTCGAATTAATTCCGCGCCATTCCAATACCGTAACCGAACGATTTTCAGGGCTCCCCGGCGCGCGATGAATTTTCGCTTTTCGGCCAAAATCAGCAAGCGGTGTGACGATGTCTCGACTTGGCCCGAACTTCGATCAATTTGTCAACAACCCGGCCCCGCTTCATGAGGCTTTCTTCCAAGATCCCGATGATGTTCTCTGGATGTTCTCGAAGAGATGTGAGCTTCTTTCTCGGCCCTTTTTCGGGTATCCACTTTGATTGTGTCCACACTTGTGCTTTTTCCAGGTTTTCCGCTATATTTAGCGCACTGGGTGCGAAAAACCTGCGTTTGTTGGCTTGCTAATGAATCTCACTGGGCGGGATTGACTTTGGCTTTTTCTTTCTTTTCCCGAAACTGATAAGGCACCCTTAGGCTTTCCCCCCTCTAAATGACGCATAGATCACCTAAGTTTTGGCTTCGCTCACTTCGTGTGGATCAATCAGCTGAATGAAAATTAAGCCTAACTTTAGCTAGTTTAAGTTAAACTATGTTTATAACTAGTTTTCCGCGCACATAGCGAGGTTTTTCTAAGTTTCTTTGACGAATTGATAGCAAAAAACTTCTTTGTTAGAGTGTAAGTTTTTACGTGCCCGGTAAGGCGCCTTTTGCACCCAACGCGCGATAACAGGCAATACAAATGTGGCACAAATCAAAGTTTGGCGCAATCACTGCGGGATCGCTGATCCAAAAGCGCCGCCTTTCGCAATATAACTTTGTTTTTCCAGATAACCATCTGCCAAGCTTCCTCAGCGGCCACCATGTGCACTTTGCCGGCGGCTATTCGGTTAGCTTTGAGATGCGCGACCGTTTTTGGAATCAGCCTCGAGAGGTTTTTCTTTTCTCATTATTATTGTTCTTTGTTTAGTACCCCTACATCAGCCGGGACGAGAATTGCGAAGAGATCTTCATTCGGGGCAACGATCAAATCTACTTGCTGCTGTTCGCCGCTTATGGCGGGTTTCTACCAAAAGCCCTCTTCCGATTTATCCCGGCCATGCAGATTTGGGAGCATCGAGTTTTGAATGTAACTTTTGTTTTTTTATTTCAACGCTTTGTTTTAGCTGGACCCCGAGTGCTACACGCGCAATGGCCCCGTCGAGCGGATCACCGTTCGTGCCGTCGATGTGAAGGTGGACAGCAAAGACGCGTACTTGCTAGTGAAGATTGCCGGCGAGTGCTCGTGCCACCACCTGAACTTGGTCGACGGGAGAATGGAGAAGATGTTCAACATCAAGCCGGAGATTATGACAATACCGGTAAAAAGATCTATTCTATCGGTTTTATAATTTCTGTATTTCAGAACGCAACACCTATCCGAGGCGCTGTACTCGACGGCAAGCTGCATTTCTTCTACGGGGTCAATGATATTCCGATCGACTGGGTGCCAGACAGACTCGTCACGTTGGATTTGGCCACCGGCGAGGGCTGCGAAATTCCTGTATCACTTGTTAATATCTTTTTATTTGATTTTTTTTAGTTACCCGGCGGGACCCCACCGTTCATCAACGAGGGCGCTAAATACACGTATTTGCGGAAGGACGGCGTGTGGGTCCACGTTCAAGGTATTCACTTAATATTATAGGTAATCTTCGTATTTTAGGTCACATTGGGCCTGCCGAACCCACATCGTGCGCGCTCATCTACACGCTCGACCTCAACGCGGAGGAGGTTCGCTGGAGGAAGTCGTATATGACGGTACATCTATTTCTTGTAATCTTACAATCTATTCTAGGGATCTAAGTCGACCACCACCACCTATGCCTACGATCACTCCAGGGACAGGCTCATCTATGTCGACGAAGTCGGGGTCTGGGAGTGCCTTTCCTACCCGCCAACCTAACTATTCCGTGAACTCTGCGATTCCGACACTATTCCTACCATTCCCCGCTGGCCAGCCGATTACTCTATTCATTGTTGGTGCTACCGACTGTTTTTACGCCTTTTTTAACAGCTGGCAGGATTTTCTGAATATTCACCAGCTATGCTCTATTTTGTTTGTAATTTGCCAATGTTTTTATGTTGTAAGCCAGATTCGGTTGGTCCCTCACTTACTCCACGGGTGTTTTCGCTCCTGTTTTTTCAGCAACTAATCTCATTTTTTGAAGGTAACCATTGGTAAACTGGTTGATAAAAATTTGGTGTACTTTCTTGGTTAAAGGGGGGGGGGGGGGCCCCCCCCCCGCGGGGGGGAGGGCGCCCCCCCCCCCCCCCCCCCCCCCCCCCCCCCCCTCCCCCCTTGCCCCGTGTGTTTTTTTTGGGGGGGACCCCCCCCCCCGCCGCGGGCGGCCCTTTAAACATGATCGTTTTCAGGTTTTGATTCATGTTTGCGGAAGGGAATGCGGTTTTGGGCGGAAAACGGCTGTGGCCTTCGCTGTTGAGTGGGGTCGTTCGATTTTGGCGAGGGTCTTTTTACTCTTTTCGCTCTTTCTGCGAACCCGGAACCGGAAAGAGCATTCGGAAATGCGAGCAACGCCTGGCGTTGTTTTTATTGTTTCTCCCGGGGTTTAGGGGTTCTAGAAAGTTCAAGAACTATTATAAAGGTTTCAGATAACTTCGTACGTCTTCTTTTGGGTATTTTGAATGTGAAGGGTGTTTAGCTTCATTGAAAAGGGCTCTTTCTTGTTGATACGTCAAAAGTTTATAAATTTTACTTGCTGAATCGTAAGCGTGAATTTTATTAGATTGGTTTTGGAATGCCGTTTTCAGGGCGGCTATTGAGCTGTCCTCGACCGTTTTTTTCATGGGAATCTATGTTCAGGCCAAAGCAGCGTTTTTCCGACGACCTTGTCCCTTGCCCAAGACGTTCCCTCATCGCTGATTGATACAAAATGGCCGACTTTTCCCCCGAACTTCCTTGTCGCAAACCACCACATTCACTCTGATCTTTCACTTCGAGAACGTTCAAGCCGTTTTGGTGTTTTCCATTGTGGCGTGCTTCTTGTATAGGCCGCTCAACGACCTAAATTTTCAGATAAAATGACGAAAGTTGGTGAGGGCCTCAAATCCGTCGTCCCCGAGCCGGCCGAGTACTACACCACCGTTTTTGTGGATGGGAAGATTTGGCTGTTCGGCTTGACCTGTAAGTTTTATTTTGGAAACGATACATGAAACTTTCAGACAAGGATCAGAAAACGCACAACTGGGGACACCGCGTGGCTTTCCACGGCGGCCATGTCGTGGCTTTTGATGTGAATTCCGGAACTTGGGAAGGTCCTTATGAGGTAAGGCTTCTGAAAGTACAACACTTTCTAATACACCTAATGCCGGTTGTAAAACGTAATTATTCTAGATCCCCGAGCTGTCCGACGAGGAAAACCAAGGCGAACTTTTCTTCGTCCGCAACAACGCCCTCCACCTGCTTCTCTACAAGGAATTCCTCCGATTCGAGCCAAAAGCCCTTTACACTTGGGACACTGCATCGAAGAGCTGGCAGGGCAAGACGTTCTCGGTAAGTTCGAATTCGATAAATTTAACACTCAACTTTAAAATAGGAACATTTTCCTTTTTTAGATGAGCGGCTCGGCGATCGCTGATGGCTGCGAGTGCAACCCAGCTGGAGTGAAGCTGGTTGATGATGAACCCTCAGCAGACACCGTCACCTTCTTTGTCAACCACGGCAAGACCCACCTCTACGAAATTGACCTCAACTCGGGCCACGTCTCGAAGCGATGCGACCTCAACAAGGAGGAGATTATCGTGAGTCAAAGCATTGAAACCACGACGGGATTATATTTTATAACATCCATTGCACGACTATGAATAGATGATGAAAACAGGCATAAAATCATACTAAGACCACAATTTCAGAACGGAGCCCCGGTACTCGGCTGCAAAAAGGACGACAAGGTCTACTTCTTCTTCGCCGTCCACGGATGCGTCTATCGTTGGGAATCCGGACGTCTACAAGCCCTCCCCTTGAGCGGAAACGGAAATCCGGAGCCTGTTCAGGTTAGTTTCCGACCAAAAATACTGGAAAATTATCTCATTCCCGATAATTTTAAACTAGATTGATAAATTATCGTTTAGATCCAAGGTGAGCCGCCACACTTCGGCTTCACCGGCTCGAGGTTCACCCACTTGCGGCCAAATGGCGAATGGGGACACGCGACAGGTACGTTTTTCAATTATTTTGATAGTTTGAATATGAAGATGAGACAAGCATTTTCAAAATTAAAAATTTGGCTAATAAAAAACTTTCTTTGAAAGATGGTTCAAGACTGCGAAAATTGAGAGAAGAACAAGTAAAGCTATCAAAATTAAATTTTGTAAAATGATCCTCAAGAAAGCAAAAGTTTTTGGAGGTATGGGGAATTGAACCCCAGACCTCTCGCATGCTAAGCGAGCGCTCTACCACTGAGCTATACCCCCAGGCGAGCGAGGGGGATTGGCAGCACCTCATAAGGGGTGGATGGCATCACACTCCCCCTTGACGATCAATCAGGCGTCAAAAAATCGAATTGCCACCTCATGCCATAGCCGGCACACACCTGCCATATGGTTGCCATCTCAATCCCCTCGATCGCCTGGGGGTATAGCTCAGTGGTAGAGCGCTCGCTTAGCATGCGAGAGGTCTGGGGTTCAATTCCCCATACCTCCATAAACATTTTGCTTTTTGGGAAATTGATTATAATTATTTTGTGGAGCCTAGGTAACGAAGTTTATTAGTTTTTGATGGTATTTGGTTTATGCAACAAGAAACGTTGTGAGCGTGAAAACTATGCATTTTAGGCGCTCAACAAGTGGGCATGTGCGACAGCCGATTCGTCGGTGACGTCCACAACGTGAAATTCGGCGAGCCGGCCGTTTGGGAGAAGAGCGCCACCACTTTGGTAGTTTTTAAAAGAGATAAAATCATTTAATATGGTTTTTCAGGAAGAAGCGCACAAGAACATTGCCTACGATTACTCCACCGACACGTTGTACACTATCTCGGACGAGGCCGTTGAGAAGCACTCGTTCTAATTTTATGACTTTTCATTTTTGAGCTTGCATAATTACGTGTGGAGTTTGTTAATAAAATTTTTGAATTACATGTTGCGGAGTGTTGCTTGGAATATAGCGTAGTGTTATCGAACCATCTTACGTTTTGTTTTCTCTGCTCCTGGCCGATTTAAATTAATTTTTAACGTTTTTTTAATTTAAAAAGCGGCCGGGGGGGGGGCCCCCCTTTTTTTTCCGGGGGCCCCGGTGCCCCTATTTTTTTTTTTTTTTTTTTTTTTTTTTTTTTTATTTTTTTTTTTTTTTTTTCCCCCTTTTTTTTTTATTTTTTTTTTTTTTTTTTTAATTTTTTAATTTTTTTTTTCCCTCTTTTTAAAGTCTATTTTTTTGAAAACAATTCATTGTCAAAAAATACAGTATAATCGCTGAAAAAAATTTACTGATAACCCAACCATTTTGCCGGAAACTTGGGCTAGTATTCTCGAGCTGCTTCTATCGAGAGTGCAACCGAACATTTTCCTGAGATCTAATTTTCCAAAAATAAAGAGTGGTGACGTTTCTAAGGGATTGTTTTCCATTCATAAACGTGAAAGCTTTACAAATTTGTATTAAAAAATGTCAACGATATCGAATTTCGAAAGAAAATGGCCGATTTTTGACCAAACTTTCGACTTTTGAAAATGTTTTTAGATAGTTTTTCTAGCTCGAATAGAACTAGATATACTAAAAACACTATTAGAACATTTTCTATTAAGTTACTAGGCATATATAGATTTATACAAAAAAAGTGAGACTCAAAAAGACTCAGATTTTGCAAGGCTTTTTGTTAAGTTGATTCACAATAAAAGCGTGCTTCGGAAAACCATAAAAATTTTGAGCAGAGATGCAGAAAGATATTTAAAATGCTTAATGCTTACTTTCAATTCGACCGGTACGGTAGATTTTAAGTTACTGCAAAAATGCTTTTTAGACTTTGTGAGGAAAAAAACCAATTGCTTGTGTAAATATTTCAAAAACAAATGCAGTGTAGACGTGTTTACTCAACAACAATATTTGCGGAAACCCTTTATTCCACCAGTGTACAAATCACAGATTCGCTTTGCAAAAAGCGTTGGAGCCAATCACCAGGACCAGCAGATTTTCTCTATGCAATAGGGCGGCGCGCCTCGGGCTGGTGTTAGGGCTGGAGGCGCGGCTCGCGGTTGCTTCTCCTCTCATGCTCACGCGTCATCGTCGTCGCCCGTCTTCTTCCTACAAATTCAGCTTTAAAAAAAGTTATGAAAGCGAGGAGGTCCAACTTATGGTTTTTCACAACAAGTTTTTCGTGCTGCGCTATTTATGGGTTGTATTTTTACATTATTTCGTTGTTCCAAATTGCTAGAAAATTCTACAAACTTTGGAAAATTTTTGAACCATCGAAATTTTGACTTTTCTGGGCATTTTCATACATTTTTGACAAAAAAGCCAGAAATTTTCGAAAATTTTTAGCATTTTTTATATTGTTTTTTATCTAATAACTACGTAAAATTCTAACAAAACTAGTTAACGTTACGTTGTAAGGCTATACGGAATTACCAGGGAATATTTCTCTCTCCCTCCCCCCCCCTTGCTAACATTCCAAAACCCGTTTTTGATCATAAGCGGAGACCCCACAATCTTTTCAACGTTTCAATCAAAAATTTTTTTGGCCTAGAAAAGTGCTTGAGGTTTACGAAAAAAACTTTCTATTTTAGTCGAGAGTCATTGACAAAAGAAGTGAGAGGGGTGTTGACTTGCTGAGGAGAAAAAGGCGTACTTGGACGAGTCGTGCTTGCGAGAATGCGAATCCATCTCCTCATCATCATCATCATCGTCGTCCTTTTCCGGCCGTCCGAATCGAATATACCAGGCGACGGCTGTTGCGATGATCGTCAACATGTTGACGCTGAAGCCGGACCAAAAGACGACCCATCCCCAGAATTCGGGAATGACACGCCAGTCCTCTTCTGAAGCCGGGGTTGTTCCGTTGCCGATCGTTTGATGGCTGTCCGCGGAGGTTCGGCAGAATTTCTGAAAATGAGAAGGCAGTATTTTTCTGTAAAAATGGCCGGATACCTGATTCGAATCGACCTCACTGCAAAGCTGCAACTTGGTGACGGTCAGCGATTCGTGGCCCAGCCCTTGTAGAACGGGTTCTTGTCGCAATCAAGCAGTTCGTCGGCTTGTACGATGGCCTTCTGATCGGCCTGCAAAGGGTAATGGTCCATTAGCCGGGGGGAGGTTTTTATTCTGGACTGTTTGCAGGGGGACAATTTTTTGTTTTCGACCTATATGTACCGATTTCGATAACGGATTTCTGCTTCGATTCGGATAACGGATTTTCATTGTGTGGTTACGGTTTTTGGATGCCGAAAAGTGAACCCAACGTTTTTAAAAAATTCTGAAAATCCGGAAATATTGACCTCTTCTTGGTCATTTTAATAATCTCGAAAACCAAAACCTTTTGACCAGAAATGTATGGAAAAGGTTCAGAAATCTCAAGAATCTAGATGATAGTGTGTATACCGGCAGCCCGTCTGTCTTGATGCAGCGCGGATAGGAGACTGCTGGAAGCGCGGAGCCCTGACGTTTGACGCGAGCCCCTTGCTGCGTTTCTGCCTTCTCCTTGTCGGCGGATGTCTATAAACAATGGTCTCCAGCCTCAGGAAAAGTAGAACCTGCCCGGCAGGGGATTCGGGAACTTTTAGACTCGTCAAGAGGGAAATTGTCTCTTCCTCGCTCTTCAACGAGGCGTACGGTCCCGACTGAAATTCAGAAAGTTAGCGACGAGAGATAGATAGACAGAAGGGAGAGAGAGAGAGAAAACAATATAGAGAGGGAGTGAGTGAGAGAGTTAGAGCGACAGGCAGACACAGTCTGAGAGAGAGCGAGAGAGAGAGAGAGCGGGAGAGAGAGCGAGAGAGAGAGAAAGAGAAAGAAAGAAAAAGAGACATATAATGTTTTACCAAAGCCCGACGAAGCGTGTAGTATGGCGGGGAGCCGTTCGGATCCTTGATATCCAAAAGGACACAGCTTTCCGGAGGGTACTTTCCATCCGGGCGCGGGAACACGCACTGCTCGTCGCATTCGGTCGCTTTTTTGAAGTCATTGACGGTGCCGGGATAAAACTTTCTAAACGAACATTACTGGGTGGTAAGAAATAAAGCCAACATTGCGTTTGGGTTGGGCATACAAAGATGAAGCGGGGCGCACTTTTCACCGGCTTGACGACCGCCCTTCGGACAATACTAAAGATTAAATCCTTGCCCGTTTAGCTCAATTCTTTACCTTAGGATCCATGGGATCGAAGACGTCGTAGGGGTTGTTCTCAAGTGGTGTTTTGTCGGTCTGCAGGTATCCGGCGGCCAGTTGGAGACTTGGGATGCACGTTTCTCGGACGTTGCTGTCCGCGGCGTGAGCAGTAAGAACCATTCTAAAGAAGATGATGCTTTTCTGGCAGTAGGTAGGGTTCGTCGGATAATACAACGTTCACTAACTCCGGGATGACAAATCCAGCATCGCATTGGAGGAAGTATTGCGTCGTGTGTGGGATTGCTTTTGGCATATATGCTTCGATGCTCCTAAAAGTTGGCATCATTCATATTGTGGCCAACGATGACCTACAGACGCTTCCCATCGCATAGCCCGGAGGCCACCATCTCGCGTGTACACAGGTTGAAGGGAAAGTACAGCGTCTCTAGAAACACAATTTTTACCCACCCGATACGATCCACCCACCCTTGTTGTCATTGATTTTGACGGGGACTATACAATCGGCTGCTTCGGGCGCATCACGCTTCTGGAAGAACTATGTGCTGAAATTCGGAAAGACCTACACATAGTTTTGGGCGACACTCATCGGCTCTTAGCCTTTTACCAAGCCGAAAATCTGCGGCCAAGAGCTGACCATCATAGCACTCCGCCGCGACGGCTGCGACGTCACATGACGAGCACTAGAAAAAAGCATCTCAGCATCGCGCTACTTGTTCACTATGCGACAGCCGTGCGCGTTGGTCCAATTTCGAGATTGGTCAGAGTGCAGTTTACCTCCCCCCCAGCCGGCACCCAACTTGTGTATCTCGGCTCCCTGTTCATCTACAAGTGTGTAAAGTATACCAAAATATTCGCCAGAGCAAGGCGAAGTTTTAAAACGCTTTAAACTTTCAAAAACTTTTTGAACGCTTTAAAAAGTTTTTAATCAGCTTTTCGAGTTTAAAAAGTTTGGCTACGGTTTACTTTACCCCCCCAGCCGGAAGTTTTTGGCTATAACTTTTTTAGTTTACATTATTGTAGGCTCAAATTAAAACTCTTATTATATTTTTCGACGCTCTATCGAATGGCGTTGCAAAAATCCCCGACAAAATAAGCGAAAATACCGACAACGTTGGGACACTTCGGCTGCGGGGGGTAAAGTAAATTCTTACCAAAAGTTTTTTTACTCCAAGCACGGCTTAAGTGCAGTTTACCCCTCCCCCAATTTTGGAATAGTTTACACACGCTGCGAATTTTTGTGATTGGTCACCGCGGGGATCACGACCCCTCCAGCGCGACTGCTAAAGAAACGATACCCTCCTTACCTTGTCCGCCTCTTTTTGCGTATCGGTAGTTTGTAGCCACGGTGGATAGTCTTGGACGCGCTCGTCGAAGGCGTAGCAAACAAACGGACGGGAGCTGGGGCACTAGAAATGTAAAACATTGAGACGCAAAGCCAGGCGCTCGTTACGGCGTCAAACACGAACCGGGATGCTCGCATCTCTCCGCTGACGGCCGATGCCAGCGAGTCGCGAGTCGTTGGTGCTTCTGCGAAAATTTCTCAACGAAAAATTAGACTCAGAAGCTAAAAAAGAAAAGAAAGGAGGGTGCTAATGCAGAACGGGGGAGAGGGGTCCAGTGCAAGGTTCCAAATCGCTTCAAGCTACGTTTTTTTAATTTCTAAGCTCACTCATAAATTAGGCCAAGCTTAAACCTGAGCTTGGCCCTCATTGACAGCCCAGACCAAACCAAAAGGTACGTTAGTTAAGCCGATAGCAAGCCAACGAAATGAAGTCTTTGGATTCATTAGGGTAATCTAAAGCGAAGCTAAGCTTAGGCCTAAGCCGGGATTAAGCTAGGGTTAGGTTTAACCAAGCTAAGCCTAAGCCTAAGCCGGAAGTCAAGGCAAGGAAGCGGAGTGTTTCGTAACGTTGGTCGGAGAGATTTTGAGTGCCCAAAAAGTCGACAAAGAAAAACAAAGAGTGTACCGGATTGGCGTGGCGACGGCCGAGGCGATCAACAGCGCGGAGACGAGCATCAGAAGTAGGCCGCTTGAGGCCCCATTGAAGACGTTCCGAGGTGGGTAGCCGGTTGAGAGGTGCCGGTGGTGCATCTCGGTGCTGTAAAATGTCAGATAGATTGATTGTGAGAAGCTACTTACTATTGGCGTAATTCACATTCAGAATTCGTAGTTTTTATGCAAAGCGAAATTCCGATGCAGGCCAAAGCAAGAAAACCAAAAACGAGCGTCGAAAGGCTTTTTGAGGGCCTTTTGCTGCGGCCCCTCCTTTCGCAGCGTGGTGTAGTGGCTAGCATCTTGGGCCGTGGAGCGGACCATCCCTGGTTCGACCCCCGCCCGCTGCGTAATTTTTTGCTTTTTCGCGAATTGCATCTTACCAGAAAATTTTTCAATGCAGTGCAGCTATTCTAATTCCTTCTACGAAACAAAAAGGTTACCTTGTTGAATCGTCGACCGAGATTCCGGACGACTCGACACAACAGTGGATGAAGCTTCTGATCCAGACGAGAAGTCGAACGCCTGACCGCGTTGAAGGACAGAAGGGAGACGGCGCCCTGGAGGGAAGTTGTGTGGGAAATGATAACTTTATCGAGACCAAAAGGGCCTGTACGCCAGCGATTCTCGTTCCGGGATTCAAATTGCAAAGCAGATGCAAAAAAGTGACTCAAGCAATACCGATGTAAATTTTGCTAAGGAAATGCACTAGGTGAGCCCCGAGATTCGGGATAGGACCAAGCTGATCTTCCATAATCTGCCACGGCGAAAAAGACGGTGTTTTCAGAATTTCCCTAAAGGGGCTCGGAAGTCGAAATTCGTGCGCACGGTTACTGGTACTGCTGGTAAAAAACGAAAGGGTCACTGCCGAAAAGGCTTAGAAAAGTGATTTCGTTGCGAAAAACCGTAAAATCCTACTATATATAAAAAAATAGTTCATGTGTGTGTGTGGACACTTTGCATAAATGGCTCGAAGAAACCGGGTTACCAAGATATCGTGAAGGGGGATCAATTTTAGGACCCAGCCGAACAGTATTTAGGGGTAGTCGAATGCGTAGATTACTGCAAGCTTATCAGATTCTTAATAAAATGACGATTTATACCTTATTTTAGTTATTTTAAAACCAGCGCCCAAAACCCGCTTCGCGGGCCTTGGGCGCTGGAATTGGGCCTTTACATGAAAAATTTGACTTTCCGATAGCTTCGGACCCCTTCCCCACCGACTACACACGTGCGTGCAAATTGCAAGAATGAGGAGATTTGTAATTTTTCAGATTATGCAAATTACCCCCAAAGATGAATAAAACCGCTTTAACTTTGTAAACCTGTATTGTATCGAAATTGTGAAAACGCCATCGGAAAGAGGAGGGTCGATTCCCCCTAGTGACAAAAAATCAGCGCATTTTATCCAAGGGAAGGCCCGTAAATCGGGCCTCGAAAGTGACATCCACACACACACACAGAGATACACTCCAAAATTATATAATATTTTAAAACATATGGAAATATCCTCATTTGCATACGAGGCGCTAGGAGGCTCATTTCGAATTTTGTCGCGCTAGCGGCCGGTTGCTCTTAATGTTTTTGGGTTCACTCTCGCTGTTCGCTCGAATTATGCAAAGTGCCCAACTTTGAGAGTTCCGTGTGCAAAGGCCAGGGGTGAAAAGCCGCGTAGCGGCTTTTCAACCCTGGTACTTGAATAAAACCGAAATTTTTCTTGGTGCGAAAACGCCTTTTTGAGTGCGCGACGATTACGTGTCGTAATGCTTTGCAAGGCACACAATTAAGCCTTGTAAGCAAAGATTATCTGATCAATTTTCATAAATAAAAGACTTATGATGATCAAAATCCGATGCGGAGTACGGAAATAGCTTCTGAATTTTTAAATTCAAGCGTTGCCGAGACCAAACAGGGGCATCAGAACATGTGGCGCGGTCGCGTGGCCGCCGCATCTGGCTATTTGCCAGGAATCAACGCAGGGGCCGTGGACTACTAAATTTCCGGCTTAGAGTTCAGTTTACCCCCAAGCCCAGCGCCTCAGCCATAGGTCCTATTAATGCGCCGAATATCTCACAATGTTCGCCGTGGTCGAATTACGATAAAAAAGTTCTTACAACAACAATTGTTAGAAAGTTTTTTCTGCCTCGAATAGCATACGTCATAAAAACCAGAGTGCTGCTAGGCCGCAGTTTATGGACGAGCGAAGGTGGGCAATATTTTACCGAATCCATAGGAAAATCAGAGTCCATACCAACCATTACCAATTCTACAGTTTTGGAAAATTTTGAGTTGCAGGCAGGGGCGTACACGAACCCGATTTTTGGGGGGCGACTCGAAAATTTTTGTCGACCTCCCCCGTCACCACTTTCAAAACATTCAAAAATCGCAGCTATAACAGCGCCGCATGCCACAAAAAATTAGGAAAAAGCGTTAGAAACGCTCAAATTCATGTAAAAACATTACAGAAAACGCGCCGCAGGCGAAAATTATATATGGACAGTTGACGCACTAATGAGAAACAGCGCCGCAGGCAAAAAAATTTTGGAAAAATAGGCTTCATAGCAGTAAAAACCGTCTTAAAAACAGTAATAAACAGCGCCGCAGGCAGAAAAATTTTTACTGAAAAAAATCATAAGGGTCCCCCCTTATGAACTTTTCGGCCTTCGGCCGATTTTGGGGGCAACTGCTCTGTTGCCCCTCGTACGCCCCTGGTTGCAGGGCTCATTCGATCGAACAAAATTTTTTGATAACGATGGCGTTACTTATTTTGGGAAAATCAGATACAAAAGATACAAAGAAAAGACCCAAAAAACACTTTACCGTAAGTTATCGAAGTCGCATTCACATATTCCTATGTTGAAAAGTCGTGTCGTCTCTTCAGGCTCGTCCGGACACCTTTTTAGCCCTCAATCCCAGGCCTTTGAGAGAAGCCAATTATTGTGCGATAGAACCAATTGCTTGTGTGTAAATATTTCAAAAACAAATGCAGTGTAGACACGTGTTTACCCAACAACAATATTTGCGGAAACCCTTTATTCCACCAGTGTACAAATCACAGATTCGCTTTGCAAAAAGCGTTGGAGCCAATCACCAGGACCAGCAGATTTTCTCTATGCAATAGGGCGGCGCGCCTCGGGCTGGTGTTAGGGCTGGAGGCGCGGCTCGCGGTTGCTTCTCCTCTCATTCGGCCGACTTCTCTTCCTCGTCAGAGTTATTCCTAAAAAATTCAGTTTACAGTTACTTCAGTTGCTAGTCAATTCACTCCCGGGTTTTTTGGGAACTTTTCCCAAAAATTTTGAGCCCGATGGTAGAAAGGGACGATTCTTTAAAGTTAACGGGGGTGCACAATTTTTCCCAATATTTACGGATTTAACAAAGAAAGTCTGGGAAGGCCAGAATTCCGGTTGCTTACACGGGCTAAGAAAATGCCTACTTGGTTCCTTGGCTCTTCGGGGAGTTGACAGGCTCTTTCTTTTCACGCTTTTGGCGCCGTGAGCGCACCCACAACCACAATCCGACGGCACCGACGATCAACAACACGGTGCCGACGACGGCCACGACGATGATGACCATCAGCGTTTTGTCATCATCTTCAGTGGACAAGCAGAATTTCTGAAAATAAATAATAGCACTGCAGGGCGCTTCCCCCCCGGCCCTCTAGCTGTTCGGAGAAACGTCAGGTCGGGATGAGTTTTACCCCATTCGAAAGCTCTCCAAACGCGAGTTAACCGGGGGTTGCATTTTCAAAATTTAGTCTCATTTTATCGATATTTAACGCTTTCCAAAAAACAAGTAATTCGATCGTAATTTCGCAATTAATATGCTTTTCGTGATGCACCTTTCATAACTCCACAATTTTCATGGTTTTTGGGCATAAAGTTCGCGAATAAAGTACATAGTAAAAACAATGAACGCTCCTTGTTTTCTCACATTATCGAGAGCTTTCGATAGATAACTAAATCGTGAAAATCGGGCGCGAATGAACGCCGCGGGCCGCTAAAGGGGGGCACTTTTTTTTGGTGGACACCCTGTACAATGAGAAGGGAGTATTTTTGTGTAATGGCCGGATACCTGGTTCGGATCGACCTCAGTGCAAAGGGGCAACTTGGTGACGGTCAGCGATTCGTTGCCCAGCTCCTTGTAGAACGGGTTCTTGTCGCAATCAAGCAGTTCGTCGGCTTGTACGATGGCTTTCTGATCGGCCTGGAAAAGGTACTGGTTCACTAGCGGGGGGGTGAGGTTTTGGTGCCGGACTGTTCAGGTTCAACATGCTATGCTTAATTGTTAATGTTAAGCGGATTTTCATAGTGTGATTAGTGTTTTTGAATGTCGGAAAGTCATAACCAATGTTTAAAAAATTCTGACTTCTTTTTCGGCCATTTTTATTTTTAGTTTGGTTTTTGTCTAAAAACGATGTAAAATGTATTATATAGCATTAATAATCTCGAAAACCAAAACTTTTTGGCCAGAAGTGTATGGAAAAGGTTCAGAAATCTCAAAAATCTAGATGATAGTGTGTATACCGGCAGCCCGTCTGTCTTGATGCAGCGCGGATAGGAGACGTCTGGAAGCGCGGAGCCCTGACGTTTGACACGAGCCCCTTGCTGTGTTTCTGCCTTCTCCTTGTCGACGGATGTCTAGAAACAATGGTCTCCAGTCTCAGGAAAAGTAGAACCTGCCCGGCAGGGGATTCGGGAACTTTTAGACTCGCCAAGAGGTCAATTGTCTCTTCCTCGCTCTTCAACGAGGCGTACGGTCCCGACTGAAATTCAGAAAGTTAGCGACGAGAGATAGATAGAGAGAAGGGAGAGTGAGAGTGAGAGAGAGAGAGTGAGAGAGAGAGAGCGAGAGAAGAGAGAGAGAGGGGAGAGAGAGAGCGAGAGAGAGAGAGAGAGAGAGGGGAGAGAGAGAGAGAGAGAGAGAGAGAGAGGGAGAGAGAGAGAGAGAGGGGAGGGAGAGAATAAACATAGTGGTTTACCAGAGCCCGACGAAGTGTGTAGTATGGAGGGGTGCCCTGCGGATCGCTGATATCCAAAAGGACACAGATGTTCGGAGTGTACTTTCCATCGGAACGCGGGAACACGCACTGCTCATCACATTCTGCCGACGTTTTTATCACATCCCCTTCGCCAGGAAAGAACTTTCTAAACAAGATCCCATAGCTTGTGAAAACAAACATGGCTTTTGGGTCGGGAAGGCAAAGATGCAGCGGGTCGCACTTTTCACCAGCTTGACGACCTCCCTTCGGACAATACTAAATATCAATTAAATTTTGGTTTGGTCCGACTTTTTACCTTGGGCTGCAGAGGATCGAAGACGTCATAGGGGTTCTTGTCGAGCCCTGTTTGGTCCGTTTGCATGTATCCAGCTGCCAGCTGAAGGCTTGGAATGCAGGTCTCCTTGAATTTTCTGTCCCCAGCAGCAGCAGCAACCACTTTTCTAAACAAAGATCATACGAGCTTTTCCTATAAGCAGTTTCGATCCAAAACACTCACTGCGGGATGACAAATCCAGCATCGCATTGAAGGAAGTATTGCGTCGTATGGGGCATGGCACCAGGCATATATGGTCGAGTGCTACTAAAAGGAGACGCCATTCAAATTGTAGCCAACGATCGCCTACAAACTCTTCCCTTCGCATTGCCCAGAGGCCACCATCTCGCGTGTACACAGGTTGAAGGGAAAGTACAGCGTCTCTAGAAACACACTTTTAAGCCGCACGATACGATCCACCCACCCTTGTTGTCATTGATTTTGACGGGGGCTATGCAATCGGCTGCTTCGGTCGCATCCGGCTTCTATACAGGCTCTACACCAAAAAGCCAACAAAACGTACGCAGAATTTTGGACGACAGCTTTCGGTTCTCGCCCTCCCACCCGCAGCGATGTTAGCGGTGAAGCTGTCCGTGCTCCGACATTCCTTGAACTTCTCCACGGCGCAAGTTGCGCACTAAAAATCCGGCTCCTTGGATACAATGACCGTGAGCGCTTAGGTTCATACAAACAAAGCCTGAGCTTAGTTTGAGCTTGCGCTTAAAGAGATGCCGACGGCATGATCACTCGGTTACGCGCTGGAAAGAAAATGTCTCTGCGCCTCTCCCCTGGGCGCGCTCTCTGCCCCGTTGGCTACTTGCCAATTTGTTGATGGGGGGGAGAACGACACATGCCGTCGGCAGCCCTTTAAGTTTCAGCCTTAGTCTAAGCTAAGCTAAGCATACCAAGCAGCTTAAGCGGAGCTTACTCTTACCACCAATTTCGGACTGCCCGCCTTTAAAGCGCACGTTCAGGGAGGGGCCGTATACTCTGTCCAACGTATACACCCTATGGACGTAGGGACCGCGCGCACGGCCTGCCCGTGCTGTGACAGGCCATTCCCCTCCTTTGCGGGGTGGGGCGCCCCCTCGCCAGGTTGTAGCTGTGGCTGACTGGTATACATCCGCGCCTCCCGAGCGGGGGGCCCGGGTTCGACCCCCGGCCGCGGCAAAAATCTTTGCTTTTTTCCCAAAAAACGTCCCTGAACGTGCCCTTTAACTGCATTAGTACCGGATAGGATAGGGGTGCAAATGCAGCTAGGGGGCAGTCCGATTTTGACTACAAGACGCTCCAAACGCCGTTTTTCAAACCATGAGCTTGCGGAAAAGCTAATCTAAGCCTAAACCTAGAAACCTTAGCTTCGTACGAACGAAACCTGAGTTTAGCTTAAGCCAAGCTAAGCTTGCCTCTAAGCTAAGGTCCAAATGACCTTATTTTCACCTCCTGAAGCAACTTATGAGCTTAGCTTGGGCTTACGCTTAAGCCTAAGCTTAAGTTAAAAACCAAATAGCCCGTCAGCTCCTCTTACTACCAATATCGGTTGTAAGAGGAGCCAGAGTAAGAGGAGAGAGTAGGTGCTTTTCATTACCTTCATCTTATCTGCATCACTGTCATCCCCAACTTTCTTGAGCCATGCCGGGTAGTCCTGGCCAAGTTCCTCATAGACGTAGCAAACAAACGGGCGAAATTCCGGGCACTGGAAGGATAAGTTATTGCGGCGGGAATACATCAATTATCACCGTTATGCCACCATCCCTGCGCTGACGGTCGATGCCAACGAGTTGCGAGTTGTTAGTGCTCCTGCAAAAATGGTATACAAATTTACAACGGAAAAGCTAAGCTCAGGAGCTAAAAAATGAAGATACCGGATCTGCGTGGCGGCAACTGAAGAGATCAGCAGTGCGGAGACGAGCACCAGAAGTAGGCCGCTTGAGACCCCATTGAAGACGTTCCGAGGTGGGTAGCCGGTTGAGAGGTGCCGGTGGTGCATCTCGGTGCTGTTAAATGTCAGATTGATCTGATTGTGAGAAGCTACTTACTATTGGAGTAATTCATATTCAGAATTCGTAGCTTTTATGCAAAGCGAAATTCCGACGCAGGCCAAAGCAAGAAATCCAAAAACGAGGGTCGCAGGGCTTTTTGAGGGCCTTTCGCTGCGGCCCCCCCCATTCGCAGCGTGGTGTAGTGGCTAGCATCTTGGGCTGTGGAGCGGACCATCCCTGGTTCGACCCCGCCCGCTGCGAAATTTTTTGTTTTTTTTTCGCGAATTGCATCTTAGCAGAAGATTTTTCAATGCAGTGCAGCTATTCTAATTGTTTCTACGAAACAAAAAGGTTACCCTGTTGAATCGTTGGCCGCGATTCCGGACGACTCGACACAACGGTGGATGAAGCTTCTGATCCAAACGAGACGTCGAACGCTTGACCGGGTTGAAGGACAGAAGGGAGACGGCGCCCTGGAGGGAAGTTGTGTGGGAAATGATACCGTTATTGAGACCGAAAGAGTCTGTACGCCAGCGATTCTCGTTCCGGGATTCAAATTCGGGTGGATGTAAAGTGTAAATTTAGTCGTTTATTGCAATGGTACACCTGCCATATGGTTGCCATCTCAATCCCCTCTCTCGCCTGGGGGTATAGCTCAGTGGTAGAGCGCACGCTTAGCATGCGAGAGGTCTGGGGTTCAATTCCCCATACCTCCATAAGCTGTTTGCTTATTGGGAAATTGATTATAATTATTTTGTCGATCCTAGGTAGCGAAGTTTAAGAGTTTTTAATGGTATTTGGATAGTTTATGCAGCAACAAGAAACGCTGGGAGCGTTAAAGCGCACGTTCAGGGGAGGGGCCGTGTACTCGTCCCAACGTGTACACCCTATGGACGTAGGGACCGTGCGCGCTGCCTGCGCGTGCCGTGGGAGGCCATCCCCCTCCTTTCCGGGGGTAGGGCGCCCCCCGGACTCTCGCCAGGACCCGGGTTCGACCCCCGGCCGCAGCGAAAATCTTTGCTTTCTTGCCAAAAAACCTCCCTGAACGTGCCCTTTAAAAACTATGCATTATAGGCGCCCAACAAGTGGGCATGTGCGACAGCCGATTCGTCGGTGACGTCCACAACGTGAAATTCGGCGAGCCGGCCGTCTGGGAGAAGAGCGCCACCACTTTGGTAATTTTTAAAAGAAATAAATTAAATTATATGTTTTTTTGAGGATGAAACGCACAAGAACATTGCCAAAGATTACTCGATCGATTCGTTGTACACCATCTCCGATGAGGCCGTTGAGAAGCTTATATCACTTTTCATTTCTGAGCTTGCATAATTACGCGTGGAGTTTGTTAAAGGGCTACCGTCGGCATCCCTTTAACAAATCTTGTGAATTTAATGGCGTAATCGCGGAGTGTTGCGTGGAATGTAGCGTAGTGTTATCGTAACCAATTAATGTTGAGCGTTTCTAACTTGAAATCCGTTCATGTTCTTTAGGAACAATTTATTATGTAAAAATTACAGTATAATTGCGGAAAAAAAGGTTAAAAAATGAAAAATTGCAATTGGCTCCTCGAGTACCCATTTTCCGGTGTGGTGTGTGCGCGTTAGAGAGATCCTGGAATCGAAGTAAAAAAAATTTTGCTAGCGGGTTAGTGGTTAATAAAATTAGTAGATGAAGAGGAACTCATCCAGGACATGCCGAAAATACAAAATAAAGACAAAATATATCAAAACAACGTAATTTTGATGCGGTTAGTAACAAAAATCATATTAGGCAATCGAAAAACGGGGCAAAAAAGGTATATTATGTATACAGGGCGGTTGCGAAACCCAGGGGGACCAAAGAAGGGGCGGGGCTTAAAGGGCCGGGAAGTCGTGGAATCTATAGGAAGGTAATGGCTTTTTCTGGGACCAAAATATAGATGAAATATAGCTTTTTTCATACTCAAAAAATCTAAAGGTCCAGTTCTACCGTAAGAAAAAGCCCTACCTCTAGGCCCTTTAATGGGACCGACAAGGCAGGGCTCAGATTTACTTGACTACTGAATTTTAGGGCTGTGTGACGCATTATACGCAACGCGTTGTTGTTTTAACTTGCGTAATTGTTCAGAATTAGGTTGCGTTGCGTATCGCGAAAATCGCGAAAATAAATAGCCAAAAATCCATAGCGAAAAAGACCTAAGAATGCATTGCTTGTCCCTTTAAATGGTTCATGAACTCCGCGAATCAACAAAATTTATGGCTTTTTAAGCTAAAATAAACTACTTTAATGATCATCTAAAATATACCTAAAAATCAGTTAAAAATAAGTTACACTAAGAAAAATTCTGGCTTCCCAGCCGCTTAAAACCCCCCAAAAAAAACGCAGGGACAGGCGCCGGGCGAACTGAACCGTTCTTTGGACCTTTGCGTAGTTAGAGGGACCAATGGAGGGCTACGATTTTCGACTGTGATGCGAGGATGCCTGGCTATCCCGAGAATCCCGGTGGGGGGATGCCTGTCGGGATGAGGGACCACCGCCCTCGTCACCACTACAAGAAGATTGTCGCCTTGAGGGGGAGGCCAGGGCTAGAACTGACTTTCTGCGGGGACCGAGTCGGGCGGAGAGGCGCTGGAGTCGATCCCATTCCTGCAAATTTTGCATCTTTGATTTTTCTGAATTTTTAAACCAATTTTTGGGCCTATGAGGCAGTGAATCTGACTCATGCCGATTCAACTAATTTTTTGGAGAGCAATCTTGTAATTTTTGCACGAAGAAAATGTTGAAAGTCCACTAATAAACGCGAATTTCGAAATGTGACAGGATTTGTCGCAATTTTGATACATTTGGATTGGAAATGAATTTTTCTAATATTGCCAGGCTAAAGGTTGTCATAAACCCGTTCAAATTACTTTAAGACGACGAAGTAGCTCACTAAACTCTTCGGGTTTTTAGCTGCTGTTATGTTTGTTGTGGTAGCTACGCGCCGCGACACGCAAAGCGCGCGACGCATGGCTCATGTTAAAGCGGTCGTAATCGATTACGCATAGATATAGCGATCCCCGCGTTGAGTGTCGCGGCCGGTGCGCGATTTTTAAGAAATCTGTACAAATTTTGCTGCAATTAGTTGATTTAAAGGGCCACTTCAGAGGATCGACGCTTTGCCTGGACTAGGCCCCGACAGCTATGCGCCGCGCCTAATTTCGCTATTTATTTTCGCAAGTTTTTGAGCAGCGCGTAGCGTTATCTGGTAGTTTAGCTGCTGCTGAGCCCTCCTGATCTCGTCGCAACCTACTTCTTGATAAGTTTCGTACAACTTCTTCGGGTCCGTCGCGTACACCTGCTTCTTCTCCCGGAACTTCTTCGGGACTGAAAATCCGACTTTATCATTTCAAGCTCGAAAATCGATACCTGAATCCTCGTCCATACTTGACCTTGGCCGGGCGCTGCTTTTCCGTCGCTTCGGCGGCTCGTCTTCTTCGTCAGGGATTTCGATCCTCACGTGTTGAAGCTCAACCTCGTCGAGGACGTCGGGTGGTTCCAGGATCTACAAAAAACCTCTAAAATACCAAGATAACTTTTTTTCAATCAAGCTCACACGTTTAGGTATCGAATTACACCGCATAAAATAAGCAAAATCAAAATCCAAAATCTCCTTTTACTGATCATCTAAGCAAGTATTACGAAACGTTCCGCTCAACGAAATTTAAGAACGTATTTTTTGCACTCCAGCAACTTAAAAAATCAAGCGGAAAAGTGCCAATTATCTTCTTTTTCACACATCATAAATTCTGGTTCTCAACAGCAGTGTTCCTGGTCGATTTCTCGATCCACTCTAGAGAAACAAGAGGTTTTTTATTCCAAAAACTATTAAATAGGCTTCAACAAACCATTATATGCTGATTGTCCTCCTCCAGGTCGAAATCGTCTTCGAAATTTTCGGGCATTTCGAGTTGGATTTCTTGCGGGAATGAAGGGAGTTTTGTCTGAAAATAAACATAGATAGTCTCTCTCTCTGCCTATCTCTCTCTCTCTCTCTCTCTCTCTCTCTCTCTCTCTCTCTCTGTCTCTCTTACCTCTTGCACCGGTGAACATATTTGCATATCATTCGAAAGTGATTGGAAGGCCGGATTTCGTATGATCAACTCTGGCTCGTAGATTGAAGTCGCTCTATAAATACCATTATTTTTATGTTGTTCAATTGCTAGTCTTACTTGCTAGAAATCGAGGCCTTTGGTGTTTTCTTAGGAGTCGAGGGCTCCGTTAACAACGGAGCTTCTTCCTGTGGACTCTGAGGCTCCGATCTGGGCTCGGGCTCGATTGGCGGCTCATCCTCATCGTTGTCGTTAATGTCGGGTGGTGGAGGTTTTCCTTCCTAAAGAATGGTCGTAAAACAATATAAGCATCATGATAGTAACAAATAAAGACAAAAATAAGCAAAATTGTGTTAGCAAAGGCAAAAAGTTATGGAGGTATGGGGAATTGAACCCCAGACCTCTCGCATGCTAAGCGAGCGCTCTACCACTGAGCTATACCCCCAGGCGAGAGAGGGGATTGAGATGGCAACCAAATGGCAGGTGTGAACCGGCTATGGCATGAGGTGTCATTTCGATCTTGACGCCTGAATGATCGCTGAGGGAGGAGTGTAACGCCATCCAGCCCTTATGAGGTGCTGCCAATCCCCCTCTCTCGCCTGGGGGTATAGCTCAGTGGTAGAGCGCTCGCTTAGCATGCGAGAGGTCTGGGGTTCAATTCCCCATACCTCCATAACTTTTTTGCTTTTTGGGGATTAGGATCAGAATTGTTTTGCGGATTACTTAAACGGCAATTACTTACTTTGATAGCAATAGTCCGCTCCACAACATTTTCCAAATCCAGAGCATCGATTTGGGATGGATCTACCCCACATTTCTTCCCAACCGCATGAAGTAAATCTTTCACTTTTAACCTAAAAATTATTTTAACTTGGTTTCCGTGCTGTTTGTTTTCTAAACAAATAAATAAATTTTTGAGTTTATAAATAATTTTTAGTCACATTAAACGTATATTTCTCAGTAATCTCAGTAAGTAAACAACTTTTGCTATAAAACTCACGCTTTGCCGCCAAACCAAATCTTTGTCTGCGCGGCGTCCTTCATCTTCTTCCCCAGATAATGCAGCTTTTTCATATACTCCGAACCAATATCTAATAATTTAAAGGTATTTGAGGCATCAAAAAGCTTACCAATGGCAATCGTCGTAATTGCCAACCCAAGGCAAACGTATAGAAAAGTGATGGGCAGGAAAATCACTCTAAAAATAGAATAATAGCGGTTTTAGCTATTCTTACTTTGACGGGACCAACTGCCCAAAATCGATTGCCGTTAAACATAGAAAATTGTAGTAGAGACCGTTGAAAAAGTCTATCTAAAAGCATCGTTGTATTTTTTAACGCCAATTTTAGTTTTTCTATAAACTCAAGCTATACAAATATCAAATATCAAAGCTTACCTGCCCATTTAATGCTGGTAACAATAAGGCACCTAATCCGACATATAATAGAAAAACGACTAGTAAGACGAGGGAGGTTACCTAAATACCCTATTGATTTTTAAAAATTGGATTTACTTGTATTGATGATTCTTTATATTCTTCGCCACTCATTGATGCTTTCGACATTCTGCGGCGTTGTCGGTATTCTTCTAGCTGAAAAGGCAGGCTATAAAATCCGATTTTGGTAGCTTATCAAGTTCCATGAGAGAGCGAGAGAGAGAGAGAGAAAGAAAAAGAGAGGGAAATAGAGAGGAGAGAGAGAGAGAGAGAGCGGTACACTTACCATCCTCCTCGAATCCCCAGCAAATTGATTCAAATACTGGCCCACATTTGCGATAATAATCATCGTAATGGGAATCCCACAAATCCCATACGCTATGCAAAACATTCGCCCGGCTTGCGTGATCGGCGCTATCCGGTTGTAGCCTGGAAGCTTATAAAACTATGCTAAATCGGACTAAATATAGGTTTTGGCTAATTTTTGGAGACTTTTTCCAAGAAGAAAACAACGCGTAACTCAACTTACCCAGTGTAGTAACGATCCCGAAGCCATATAACGTGGCGGTGACGAAGCTCCACTCGGATCGTTCGTCCCGTTCTGGCGCAAAACAGGGCGCTAACCGATGCGCGGTCGCATTAATGGCTCTTGGATCCGGGTAGGGGAGCTTTGGATCGATTTGGGCGAGCTTCTGCAATTGCGGGTTGAAACCGACTAGTTCAAGGCGTTCGAAAAAGATGTTTGCACTTCACCTATTTAAAAAGTCGTTGTTATGACTAATGATTTTTTCCTTGACCTCCCATGATTTTCGGTAATTTTTCTTTCCTCTTGCAAGCATTGAAAAATGGTGCAACCCTGGCAAGTATCCTAAAATTAACAAGATTACCTTTTTTATGCATTCCACCTTTGTCAGCTGCTCATTTAGCTGGTGATCTCTGAAAAAGAGCAAATTTGTAGTCGGAAAGATTTAAAAACTCAAAAATAGATAAGGATGATGTAATACAAATATTTAATAGCATAAATAAAACTTACTTTAACGCATCCGCCTCCAGCCGATTAAAAATCATCCCGCCGGCAAAGGCATAGCAGAGAACGAGCAGGAGAAGTGAGCAGTGGAGGGTGAACGGTTTGGCGCGCTAAAAACAGACAACTTTGTGGTTGTATTTGTAGGTTTAGTTCTACGTCTTAAACTTCTCTGAATCCTACCTGCAAATGGCTCTCCTTATTGAGGCGCGCTTTTTGGCGCCGGCGTGCCTGGACGCCTTTCAGGTAGAAATTTTCCATGTTTCAAAGATTTTGGAATTTTTTAGGAGACCTTATACAATTTTTCGGGGTCAATTGGCGTCGTAGGAAGCTTAGTATGTAGTTTGGAAGGCCAAAAAGTCCAATACGGTCACATTTTAGCAAGCAGCACCTAGCAAATTTGGCCAAATCAATGATTGCGATGAATCTGACCACCCTCACAAACAGATGAGCGGAGCGGAATTTGAGCGCTTTCCCGATTTCATCCCCCGGCCCCAGGGGCGAAATTACCCGAAGCAGCTGAACCAGTTGCGGGGGGGCACCACGAGTTTCTGGAGTGGGTTTTGGGCGCAAGCTAATCCATGTACCCCCGGGGGCAACAAATTGGACCGATAAGTAAGCTTGTAGGAAATGGCGGTCTTTGGTCGTTTGAGAAAGACTTGAGGAATAAGAGGAAAATTTTAAGACGAATTTTGAGCTACGGGTTCGTGAGGTAGCCCGTTACATGACCTCGATGTTCCTCAAAAATCTAGCCTAGTTGGCCGTGTCGGATTGCGAAGTTTCAAACAGTATTTTAACCTAACTAGCGCGAAAAATTGTGCTAGAAGCCATGTCGTTAATGCGTATAACAAAATACGTACAAAGCTTTTGTCTGACCGCTGATGATGAGACTTAAATGCCATTTTATGATAGCTATATCGGAGATGAAGTTGGAAATCGAGTTTTGTTTTTACCCAACCGTCTAGGTGCATTTTCTATAATGTATCTTGTGACAAAATATTGAGCTAGTATGGTGCTGACTAAGGTCGAAACGAGTACTAATATTAATCCAAGGCAAAAATTCAGAAGTTGATAAGCTTCGCCAGGAAAGGGGGAACTCAAAATTAAAAAAAGTGGAAAAAACCTGAAAAAATTAACTTTTTAAAAGGGGTAAAGACTTTTGGACAAGAAAATCCGATTTTACTCACCCAATGTCCAACAACCTGTGCTGGATTGAATATTGGCATGCGCCAGGGAATCTAGAGGGTATCCTCGAAAACGGTTCTTGGTCGTCCCGGGTATTCAAGGTTTTTTTCTGGCTTGTCTGGCCCGGGGACGGACGCCCAGATCTGGGCCCTAGATCTCTTCCTTTTATGCTTCTCTTCTTGTCCCCGGGTTGGTTGGAATGGGTGGAATGCGTGGGATGTGGAAATGGATAGACAAAGCAGAGGACACACCAGTTGCTAGACGCAGTATTCTGATTCGATAGCTGACGCCCGAAAGTGACTAAACTGGGCGTCCTTTAGAAAGCGATAAATCTGGGGCACTTGGCGCCCGGGGCGAACGGCTTCTAGGGTTGTGCTTTTGGGTGGTTGTTTTGAAAATGGCTTCTAAGTGCCGTCGCACTTTTCCGAAAGCATATTTCGCTCCCTAAACGGGTCTGGGGGAGTTGTATGCTAATTTAGTGTTATTTAGTATTGGGTGCAGTGTATACTTCGTCGTCCCCCCCGGGGGGATCCCCCCACGAGGGGGGACCAGGGGGGGACTGCAAAGGGGGGATGGTGGGGGGACCCAGGGGGGGACGGTGGGGGGGGGGACCACTGGGGGGATCCCCCCTACTCGCAAGTGCGCGCAATGTGTGGTTAATCTCAATACTTGTTAAAGAGCTGCTATTTTTGATAATTTAAAATACAGCAGCATGTGGTTGTCGAAAGTTCTGAAATGCCGAGAGCCCCAACGAGCTAATTTACCCTAATTTTTAAATTTTTACAGTCTCAAAGATTTGAGTGCCCAGCCTTTCAATTATTTAAAATTTTGGGTTGGTATACACTCTGATTTCCCATCGATTCTCTCTCAGGTAAATCAGAGCTTTCTAGTATCTGTTTTGTCGGGCGGGCTAAACCAGAATTTTCGAATTCGTCATTAATTTTAAAAAGTAAAAAACTTAATCTAAACATCAAAACATCAGACTATCCAAAAAACGTATGTGTCCAACTAGAAGGTTCGATTTAGTTTTCCCGACTACGCAATACGGGTGCCAGAAAAACTGGGGGGGGGGAGGGGGAGGGGGAGGGGGAGGGGGAGGGGGAGGGGGATCCCCTTCCCCCATCCCCCCACCGTCCCCCCCTGGGTCCCCCCACCATCCCCCCCTTGCGGTCCCCCCCTGGTCCCCCCTTGTGGGGGGATCCCCCCCGGGGGGACGATGAAGTATAGTGCAGTGTTTTGTTCGGGGGTTTTCTCACGGAATATGCCGTAAATGTTTTCAAGGATGATGTTTACATCTTAATTTAGTTTACAAAGCTTCGCAAAGATGTACGGAACAGCCAATCTTTACTGCAAACACAAAACTACTTTTTCGCGAGCTTTTTTTCAGGTATAAATCGTATCAACACATAAAATACCGATAAAGAAGCGGTATACAAAAAAAGATGGCTGGACTTTTCCAAAGAATAGTTCAAGAATTGGCGGCCAGAGTGCTTTGTCAGCTATCTAAAATTGACGTTGTTGTCCCAGTTGGCAACTTTTCATAGAAACTTCCAGTTTTTAGGATTTTGATTCGTTTTAACCCTCTAAGGATAGATATATTGACTATGATTGCGATTCAGATAAATTTTAGTGAAGCTGTTAATAAAGTTAGCGCCAAAAAATTGTAAGTAGTCGAATTAATTTCTACCTGCGCCGCCTCCTTGGTAAACCCCGGATTTACAGCATGTAAAGAGAATAATCGGCCAGCAACCATTTTTTAGCTAGCATCGAAAATCCATCCCACAAAAAAAATTTGAATAAAAACCTTGAGGTAAAATACGAGGTGCTCCTCAAGACGGCCGGGGTGTTCTTACGAGCCTCGAGCCGTGTCTTGATAAATTGGCCCATTTTAGGCCGCGGGGATAACGTGAGCGATTGGTCAATTCAGATGGTCTATGCTTTATGTGGTAGGGCCACACGAGTCGATGGCGGTCACGAGACGAATTGGTATGGTTTATGGGGGCTAAACCGATAAACGGTCGGGTTTGAGCTAAATTTAGCAAACAAGTGATCGCAAAAATGAATTTAAAGAAAAACTAATTCATTGTAATTTAAAAAATTCAAACTGCAAAAATGATTTTCTGTAATCGACCGCGACCGATCCTTTGTCCCACACTAAAAAATTAGAATCTACCAAGTTTTTGTTACGACATTTTTATCCCTATTTAAAAATTCATTCTATGAAAATATAATTCAAATCTAAAATCCCAATTTTACTTTTTCTTATTTTGTTCTTCCGGAAGTTTACTAGCAATTTTAGGGAATAGAAGATCATTGCACAGTTTTAACCTCGATCTGGTTGGTTAAGTTGTCAAAATTTCGATAAATATTTTTTCAAATAATAATATTGCAAGCTATAAAGCTAAATTTACCACCACATGAAATTAACAATGCAAAAATTAAATTTGACGAAGGGATAATACAGTTTAATTTTTAACGGCATTTGTAGTTTTGGATCTCTACTACACTTAAAAAATTAAGCTGTATAATTCCATTAATTGTAATTTATATAATTATTAAACGCATTAATTATATCAAAATTATTTAAAGTGCTCACCCCCTGGAATCGCAACCTCAACGACGTCGACACGTTTCCGCTTCGATTATGGGTATGCATACTTATACAAGCAAATGTGGCTAATTAGCCAGCTGCACCCATCAATAATAGTACGCCAAAAGGAATAACGTGTGTGCCCTCGGGAGGCTATTTTATGAGCACCACCCGACTATTTGGGCCTCCCGGGGTGTGGGTGCGTGTGAGATTCGTCAGTCCGAAATGTTCCTGGGGGGTAATGGAATCCGCATCCCCGTCCAAGGGACTCCCCGGAATTTGCAGCCCTCAGATTGGCATGAAATCAGGCTATATGGCGTGAAAAATTGCCTGGATTCGACGGAACAATTGACGATCGTTTTGCTCGGCATTAAATATCCATTTTTTTTGCCTCTTTTAGAGCGCTTTTTAGGAAAAAATGGCTCTCGAAACGGCCGAGGGTGTCAAATGGAAGCTTTACGTGGTTGGGTAGCTGAAGCTAACCAAAAACTGGTAGCAGCTAAAGCTGTGTGAATGATCAGAAATTAACATAGCACGGATTTAGCGCTATATTGTTTTGTATTACTTGTAGAAACACCCATATTAATTAATTAAAGGCATGCCGTCGAGAGTACTGCCTCGAAACTTTAAAAAAAACATTAATCAAAGCACTGAAAATTCGAAGCCCACGAAAATTTCAAATAGAAATAAAGTCATTGTGTACGCCTGGCTTCTATTGACGCCCTCATCTTCTGGAATTTAGTACCTTAGAATTTACAGGGTGAGGCATATATATCGAAGCACCCGCGGGCCATGAAATTTCGCATGCAAGCAAAAAACTAAACAGTTTTTGGGAATTGTGTATATTTAGCATAATAAAATAAGTGGTTCCTGATGCAGGGGTCAAAGAAAAACGATCGCCGACTGCTTTGTTGTTCATTTATGATTTAGAAAAGTTTAGCCGTTTTGTCGAAAAAGTGGTGTGCTGGCACGCTCCTCCTAGAGATCGGCCTAAAGGTTGCACCGTCTCAGAAATCTCGATTCTAGCTTGATTAAGACCTATCTAAACATTGCAGAAGTCGGATAGCCAAAAACAAGCGAAACAATTTTGTTATAGTCAAAAATCAAGCCCTGACCCAATTCAGGTCCCTCTATCGTACCGACTTCAAAATGTATTACAAAATCAAGGCTCGAAGGAAACTCTTGTTTCAGCTATTTTTCACGTTTTAGGTCTTTGGCAAAATCAGGTGCCGTTGACCAAATCAGAAAACTATACACCTAAAAGTCGCAAACTACAATTTTATGATTTTTACTATGCATTTTGAGCACGGCTGTGTCATAATATGAAAGTTCCTTCTGATGTAGCTAAATAAACTACAGCTGGGACCGTTATTTGTTGTTCCTACATCGCACCAATGTTTTTGACACGCATAGGTGCCCGAATCAGGATTTTCGAGGCTTGCCGAAATTGAACTCCAAGGGGTTGCGTGCCAAGCCCACCCCCAGAAGCCTCAAGTTTTACATGAAACAAAAATTTTCCAAGAATACCAGGTTTTGTTATTTTGGGAACTTGAAGGTAGCCCTAGTGGCTACCACTTGGCAAAATACCACGGCCCACCGAGCTTTCTTAAATTTTTGAGGGCCTTCGGTAGGTGCTTCGATATATATGCTTCACCCTGTAGTCCTGTCATGATATGGTTAATTTTGTTTTTAATACTATACAATATATTTGTTCATTATTTATTTTTTCGTCAAATGATTTTTAGTGTTGTTTAATAGTCTTTTAATTTTTCTGTCTTCCTACAATTGGCAAAAATCGAACCAAAAACGCTCTGCAAAAATCGAGAAAAGGGTGAGGCCCACCGTGAGAGGGCAGACTCAATGTAAGTTCCTTTCAAAAGGAAACAGACCTTCCCGATACCTTTAAACAGGAAGAAGGAAATTAAGGACCCTCATGTGGCACACAAACTTTTAGCACTCTCGAAAAACATCCATTACAAGTCCTGGTTAATAAAACAAAGTATTACCCACCCAAAACTTTACCGTAAAGAAGTTGTGAAAACCGAGAATGCCGCCATGTAGCATGGGATCGGAATCGGGGCTTTAGTAGCTCTTCGAAAGAAAATGCAACAACCGGGGCCAGACCGAAAAATCAACAAAACCCTCGCTTTCCTTTCTACGTCTTACCCCGAAAGACTTTGGCCCTAATGAGGAAGGAGGGCCTTTGGATGGGCCCTAAACGTGGGCTTTTACTCAATTTTTCACGAGGCTCACGTACTTCTGTAGCGAGGGGGAGGTAGACAGGGTTTGAGGAAGGGGAAGCAAACTCTTGGAAAGTTTAAAAATTGCGACGAGTTGTCTATCTTATCGGGAAAAACGTAAAAAACCTGAAAATCGATGCATTGGATAGACAGCTACGCTTCGCGCCAAATTTCGGGTGCAAATCCGTTGTTCCTCTCTCCTAGCTTGAAGTTTTTGGGAGCGAGAAAGACCCTTTTAAATTTAGATTCACGTCCTTTGTAGCCACTTGTAACTGCCTAGATCCAGCCAACGATAGGGGTCGATTTTCACGGTGGGCGGTCACCTGTCCTAAAAGTCACCTGTCCTAAAAGTTTCTTATACCGTATTGCACCAAAATCTGTCATCTCTTTCGTTCAGGACATTTCAACTGTCCTAAAATTCACCTGTCCTTAAACATTTTCGTTCCAAATGCACATAATTTGGTGCAATACGGCATAAAAATTTTTTAGGACAGGTGATTTTTAGGACAGACGGCTTTTAGGACAAGCGACTTTTAGGGCAGATGACTTTTTGGGTAGGTGTCTTTTAGGACAGGTGACTTTTAGGACAGGCGGCTTCTAGGACAGATGTCTCTTAGGACAGGTAACCTTTAGGACAGCTGTCTGGCAATCGATGTTCACGCTTCCTAACACCGTTAATTCATGAAACTCAAGCTGCCGCGGCAAGGCGTTTTAAAATCAAAATTAAATCAGCATTATGGACAAAATGACCAGTTGTTGAAACTTGTGAAGCTCCCTAGATTCGAAATTTCGACTTTCTCAACACCATTTTTGCACAAAAATGGTTTTTAATTAATTTACGACCGATTTGAAAACTTTAAATATTGATAACTTACCTCGATATGCGGCAAAATGGCAAAAATGGCCTGCCAGACAATCAGCATTTTTGAGGAGCGCTTTTGTTCTCAACCGTTCATCGGCAATACGGCCATCGGCGTACTAAAAATTAAAAAATCTGAATGTCATTAAGTATAAAAACAAAATCAGAAGATGGGTCAGTCGAGAATAGGACATATGCAAGATACCCTAAAAAACGCGACGAATTCGCCTGGGCCCCGGGCCGGACCCATAAAATCTAACCCTAATCTTGGAGGCGGATCTGGAAGGAACAATTGGGCTAACCATCAAACAGTTGTAAACTTAATCGAAAGGGCGAAAAGAATTAAAAAATTGAACATCAAAGTACAGGTTCGATTGAGGACAAAAACATCAAAAATTCGGAAACCGAAAAAGCGGAAAAATGGATTAACTAAGAATCAAAGGCGCCCGAGTGTATGTGAAAAATGAGAAGGGAAATTTTAAATAAAATTTTGTAACAAAATTGGATGACCTTAAGAATTGCGTGGTTCGAAAAAACCACAAAATTGTAGGATCTGGCGAAAAATTCAGCAATAAGTCTAAGAAAACGAGTGAAAGCGTAGTTAATCCAAAAATTTTGCATGTGATTTCAAATGCGTTGGCCTACGCTCGGCTACTCATCTCATAGGGGATATTTGGACACGGAAAATTTGAAGGCAGCCGATTCGATTAGCCGAGGGCCACACAGACCCCATGGAAGGGCCACAGATGGCTGGCCTTGCCAGGGGAGGGGACGGAATTCTCGTTGTCAGACATCCGCAGAGGCATTCCGGCCATACTTTACCAAAATAAAAGAACGACGTGCGCTGGAGTTAGTTGGAACTTTGGGCGCGTTAGTCAAGTTCACCACATTACCAGAGAACGTTTTGGAATTTAAAAGGACTGACGTCAGCACTAACCTTTTTTCGCGTCTTGGATAATCTCTGCTAGCCTGCCCGGTTCCGCTAATTCTGGTGGGTCTAAACAATGCGTAAAATGCGAGTTAACATGAAGAAAATATCTCGAAACCATATTTTAAAGGGACTC